GATTAAAATGTTTTTATTCTAAGAAAGCTGCACATTAATTAAATAATTGATAATTTCAATACATAGAGATATCGTTTTTTTCGCATACAAAACAATTGATGAATATACATTAAGCGTGAGGGAGTCGTTTACAAATGGAATGATCTTCACCAATCTTATATACTGATGAGTTGCATGTTGGCTGACGAGTATTATTAGAAATCAGTCAGTGACATGGTAGATCAGATCAATACTTTTGCTAGCGTTACGTTCTCCAAGTTGGATAATTTAATTGTAAACTCCTAGTTGGGAATCTGAACAACAACATCAGCATTCATTTGATCTAAAAGTCTACATGAAGTAAACACTGATAACACTTACAATTTCGTACTTATATCAAGTAGCTCACATAAAACAAAAAGTATCAATTAGTTATATTATAAGCTATTTGAAATTATTTAGTAGATGAGTGAAAAATTACTGAGAAATTAATCATTGAACGAATTGTGAAATTGACAAGCAATCACTTTGTAACCAATTACAATGTTGTTTAGTAACAAAATATTTCGTTATTTAGAAATGAATGGAATTACATGTTGGTAAAAAATCCATGTCAAAACATTTCCCTCAAAATCAATGTCCAATTTTCCAATTCAAAATAAGCGAACATTAACAATGAATGATGACTCATTAGTTTAGGTACTTTGTTTCTTCAATTCTATGTGTAGATTTGATGAAGCATCTTAATGTGGACGAACTGTCACGTGTTTAACTCTTGTACTGATATTTCTTTACTTAATTTTGACATGCATCAGTGACTGTATGTAAATTATTACTGTTCATTACAAACTTGGCATAATTTCCTAGATAATAAATTTGGCGACAAACACATTAATAATAACAACAGACTGAAACGTTGAAGGACAAACAAATAGGAGAAAGTAATTTCCAAAAAAACTATGTAATAACTGCTGGAAGTCTTTTTTTTCGATAACACGGAATTTATTTCAAGCTACATTAACAAAAGTCATTCGGTCTGAAATTTTAAGTCACTTACTTTCAACAGAAAATGTTTCTCGAAATATCACGATGTGAAATTCTACTTAAAATACAATGAACAGGGTTCTAACTATCATACACGATAGTGTTTAACATCAGATTATAGTGGGTTTCAGTATTTTCTATCATCGTTTTCTTTTAGTTTAGCACAGAAACTGAAACCTAGTTTCTCTTGAAGGTTTATACTCAAAGTTTTAAATAAGAGGATTATTAGGTGATTAAAATCTTTCATAATGACATTGAAAATCACGGAATCAAAGATTACTTGATCTACCGTAAAAAATCTTTGCTGAAGAGTGTTAACCAACAAGGAATCTAGCATTAATACTACATTCTGATTGCTTCCAAAGATCTCACATAAAACAGTGAAGTAAAATACAACAGTTGTTCACTATAAATATAACACTAAATGTAGAACTATTTCTGGATAATTATTATTGGGTTAGGTTTTACAACAAATATTCTACTATACAGAAAATAGTAACATCACAAAGATATTTTTAACTTTATTCAACATTAACAGCTAGTGGGTTATAACTACATACTGACTAAGAAAGGAACAAATCTCCTTAAGTACTGATAATTTATTCCTATCTATATATCCCTATTCGTATATTCATATATTCGTAGGGTATATCATTCAGTCTTCATTACACCTAATGCAGTTTAGATAACCAGTGAACATAGATTTACAACAAATCCAACAAGGCTAGTTGGATAATAATATTATTGTTTAAAATAGCTCCCTACTTCCTGAGAATCTATGAAAATATTAAAGAGAAGCATACCACTGGTAGTACAGTTGTATTCATAAATCCACTGGTTCTTCACCATAAAATATAGTATAAAAGTCCACGGGTTGTTTTAGTTTCTTGATTATACAAATTTCATAGTTGCATTCTGATTTCAAACAGACCTGTGGATAAGAAAATAAACATCACCAACAATACTAATGCTAATTATTTAAGTTAGGAAATTTAAAGTCCGCAGCCCAGTAAAGCGATCACTATTTCCATCAGATGACATTCACAGTAGATTTGCGATGATGATGATATCTATGAGGAAACCAGTGTTTGTAATAAATAGCTATCACGTTTTACCTACTTATAAGTAGCATAAAATAATTGACAACATTTTCGGACAACACTTTAACTGTTAAAATACTCGTTTTCATAGATATAGCTCTTCTGTTTAACAAGGTTGAATTTCCCTTGTCATTACAAACGTTTGAGGTTAGATGGTTTACCTGAAACCTAAGTATGGTTGAAGAAAACAGTACATTTTTAATATTTCATATGCAAGTAGTGTGTTTTGAAAGAATATTCTGGATTTAACACATGATATGTGTTACAAAACTTTATTTATTTACCGTAAACTAAATTCTTAGCCTAGATTTTTTAAGACAACTAATAAAATTGTTAAGTTTAGTTTGTACTATGAATAAATTTATAGGTCACTGATGATTATTAAAGAATTATTATACTATAATTAGAATTTTGTGTTACGTATGATTATTTTCCAAGATGACACCAAAAATTATGAAATACTATGAGATTTTCTTTATATGACTTCATTCAGTGCAGCTACCGTGACTATTTACACGTGATTGCCTTTTTGATGCCATTTTACGAGGTTACAATATTGTTTGGCTTATCGCTACCACCCAAATTCTAATTTCACTTGTATAATCTGGTTATCTGACCTTCTTTGAGTTACGCTAGAATACTTATTATTTGTAACATCAGTTAACTCGCGTGACTTGAGACAGATGTTCACTTATATTAGTGTTATTATTACCAACCAGTGACATGCAATTTAAAAGACAGATGTGCATGCAACACCCACTTTTTACATTTTTGGTAGGTTTAAAAATAATTCACATATACTAAATAATATTCTTATTCACAGTGATTCCTTACTCGTTATCAGTGTGCTAACTTATTTTAATTAAAAAATCACTTTATTGCTCAATATATTTTTTGAGTAGTTCTATTTATTCAACTTGAGAAATTTTGTGATAAGATTTGTGATGAAATGTTACTTTTAGTATAGGTTTATGTCTTAATTGGGATAGGGTTCTGCTTTCATTTAGTATCAAGAAGAAAATTGCCTAGAATTGAAGTATAAACAAATCCAGCTTTTTATTCACACTAGGAAAAATACACTAACGACAAAAAGGTCATAAAATGGTTTATCAAACAAACAAACTACAGGATCGATCAAAATGTTCTACAGTTGTATAAAGTGTGAATGGTAATTGTCAACAACAAAGTCATGAAGTAGAACTTGGTACGTAAGTATATCAGTTCAGGTTGTCATAACACGATAGCACAGGGATGCGATTATCACTTTAAATCCTATAGTGGCAAAGATAGCAGAAGTATTAACAGTAACGGAGATGAGGGTTGGAAGATATTTTTCAAGAATTATAATTCAGTGAGATAAAATTAAAAAGAGAAAGGTAGAGGTGATAAGGAGTTCAAAAGATTAGGATTTGAGAGAACACAAAGAAGGAACCCACCTGAGGGATCGCAAACGATTTTAAACGATGTCATTCAAAGTTTCTAACCATCGGTTACTATCGTCTTGCGGACCCCAACTATGTAGCCTACCATCCACTTGTCAGTGAGTTCATGAATTTGTGCCATGTTTCGGCCGCGCCTAGCTTTCTTCCAACCTACTCCTACACCAAAAAACATCGTCTTCGAAGTCGGTGGTTAGGCATACGTAACACGTATCTCAACTGATGAATTTTCAATATTGATCGGCCATCCTTACCTGGTACACGAGCATTGCTTACTCAATTGTCCCAGGATATAAGAGCAATGCTTCGAAGACATTTGTTCGAATACTAGTAACATACGAATGTCCTCGCTCATTACTGGCCATGTTTCATACCCGTATAGTAGGACAAAACGAACTGTCGCTCAGTAAACTCGTCCTTTGGTTAGTAAACGGATATCTCACCTACGCCATAAGTGACGCAAGTTGGCAGAAGCCAGTCGAGCCTTCTGAGATTTCGTCAGTCACCAGCACTGACGAGACTCCCCAAATAAGTGGAGGTCAACATGCCCAACTGTTCCACTCCCTATCACAACAATATGTCGCTGACAGGATACGAAATTGGCTTGATGTGTTGATTCATATTGAAAACAAGAGAACCATGCACGATTACCAGTTTTACAGAGTAGCGAGCACAAGGAAATAAAGCGACTTATGTAACGTCTACAGCTCGAAACAGAAGAAAAGTACATCTAGACCAAATTGCATACTTATGTGTGAAACTATTGACGATATCCTAATTTTCAAAATGGAATCCAACAATCCTGTAGTTGCAAATTTCACTCATATTTGTTATATAACTAAAAGCGTGAGAAAAGTTTATATCCTGACCAGCTGATTAATGGTTTACAAGTATATTTCACATTAATTTGGTGAGTGTAAATGATATCTTGTAAGTAAATTTAATTATTAGTTGAGAACTGTTAAATGCCCTGAATAATTCATGTTTATTTATCATGTACAATCAACCTGCCAGCTCCAAAATATTAATACCATTCCATGTTTCATGTAGCATCACTCATCTTCCAACAATTACTTAAATGATAATATAAACCAATTTTGAAAGAACGACAAGAACTCATCATAACTTATTCCAACTATCTACATAAAATGCATTATGGGACAACACTTAATGCGTATTTGATGTTTAACTGTTCAGATTTGTGTAGAGATTAGTAAATGGATTGTTTGCTCCTATAGGTAAACCATCTTTTCTACCAGTGAAATATCTACGTAAATTATAATATTACGATTTTGAGAAACACCGCAATTTTCTGTGTTAAAATTATACTTTTGATAATGTGCAACATATTCAGTACATATTTATGCTTTGTATTTAAAAAAATCTAGGTGCTTCTTAATAATTTTACCGGTGATTTCGTTGTTCTGTATGGAGTACAGTGGAGTTTCATATAGTATAGTATATTATTCCTGGTTTTTTTCAATAAACAATTCCCGTGTACACATATCCTCCAAAAGTTAATGTATAAAGAAAGCAAATTACAAAACATAACGTCAACCAAACTATATTTTTTTTATCCAGTTTAAATTGAAATTAGTTTGTTTGTTGTCTGCAAAAAAAAAGCAACATTAAGATCTGCACAAATAACAATTAAAAATAAAAGACTACACATTTATGTAATGTATTTATGTGTATAAATGATGAAAGAGATCAAATGAAATTTGAACATTTCTTCAATTTTTAATCAGAAATCACTTTCAAATTTATTATATGCATAAATTATACTTAGAAATGTTATGCTACGAACAATAGAATAGGATAATTGAGAGAATGATAGAAATAAGATTGATCAATTCACTTGAACGATAGATGTTGATTGAAAAAAAACAAAAACAAAGAATCCTATTATAAACGAGGCTAATTTTTTTTTCGTCATAAATTGTGATTTTTTTAATTCATTTAACTTGGGGGATTTTAAAACAAAACAAGTTAGACTATATGGATAAGGGTAAAAAGAGAAAAAAAATTACATATTTGCTTATTTTCAATCAAGATAATAAACTAATATAATACTATTTTAAAGAAACAATACATACAAATACAAAATGCACGTATGCATTAAAACAGCAAAAAATACATTAACGTGCAAAATAGTCTTAGGAATTATATCATACAAACAAAAAAACTTTTTGTATATAGTAGCATATAAGTGCATTGATAATCTACAGTGATATCATGTAATCATTTGAATTTAGAACAAGAACGTCATTTAAGCATTATCATCATGATCAACATTGATAATTGAACACTGCACACAGACACACACAAACACATACATATAAACTATGTAGAAGATCATATGAGCGGAAAGGGAATGGGATTATTTTTTAAAAAAAATTAAATTAAACGAGCTAAAACAGTTGTTTGTTCATTTGAAGCTGCTGGAACAGGATAGAAACCGAAACGTCGATAAAGTTCTGCTCGATGTTCATTGATAGTATCCAACTGTACATGTGCTCCCTGAAATAGAAAAAAAAAATAATCATGATATATGTAAAACGTTTTAACAAAAAAAAAAATAACCAAATTACAAAGTTGTTCATTACATACTGATTAGCAATGCGAATCACATAATGTGAATTTTCTTTGATAAAAGATTTATCAATTGGATATATTTGCATTCAATAAATGGTTTATGTTCAACAAATGCTAAAACATATCTTAAACCCATTATTCATTATGTAATTGAATTACAAAGTCTACCACAAATATAAAAGATACTTATTATTTTACATTTTCCTAATTGTACACCTTAACTTGGTCTAATTAATCTTTCACGATATACAAACCTCAATAATGGATAGATGTTTTGATATTGGAGATAATATGTTGATGTTTTCTTTTTCGAGGATTAAAACTAAGTATAACAATGCACTATATCAACTAACAGTCCAGTTGCAGAAATTAAGCAGAAACGAAATAACACAAATAAAGAATCGTTAAAATGAACATCACTTTCCTATTTCAATTTAAGAGATTAAAGTGTTTGTCGGTTACGTCAATTTACTTTATGAAAATAATCAGAATGTTGAGATGAGCTTTAGCAGTGACACTTCAGTTAGAATATTGTCAATTTATCTACCAGTTAGAAAATTTTAAAGGTGATCCTCTATAACATAGAATACTCAGCTACAATACTGTAAACCTAAATATGTCTAGTCAAAATGAAATGAACAAGTGTATGTCGTCACATTGAAGTTTTGAATCCTTGCTAAACAACCTTTAAACAATTGTCATTAAATGCATAATTGTATAATTCACAGTGAATTCAATTTAATCCAAGCTAATGCAATTTTTATTTTCTAGATTAATATTTAAGGTTAAGATTGTTTACAAATAATTAACACTTTTGTGTATCGATCACTATCACGTTTTTTCTTTAAGAGTCCTCTAATATCCAGTGAATTTTATCGATCACGTTGGAGTATAACAATGCTGAACATAGTAAAAAAAACTTATACTATTTTTGATATCTCCAAATTTTAAGTCTATTTAAAAAAAACCACTATCAAAACAAAAATATATAAATAATTGTTTACAATAAAACATATTATAATAACAATTATAATCAATTGGCGATTTACATGAGCACCGACGGTTTTCAATGCCGCTAACAAACAAATAAACAATCGGCGCGCAACAGAATCCAATAACACTTCAGGTGAATCTGCACACAATCCAAGATTATGATTAATTAGCATAGCAGGTGTAGGACCAGTAACACAACTACTTAATCCAATATCATCAAATTCAATCCATATAATAGCAGGATGTGCTGTTAAAGCACTATGAAGCGCTTCCGGTCCACCAGGAACAATAAGATTTCGAGCTATCACTGAATTTGTTGTTACAGGACTACTTGAACATGTATCAGGCACTAATGGTGGTGCACAAACAGTTCCAGATGGTGGAGATGGAGGAGCTGTGTCTGGTAAAATTGGTGTAGGCAAAGGTAGCGGTGGGATAATTGTACCACATTCATTAATAGGAAAAGAAGATTTAGATTCTAATTGAGATGATAAATTAGTAGGAATATTAGGAGTGCTTGGAACAGTAGCACAATTCGATTCACATTGTTCCAAACAACCAGATAATGGTGGTTCTATAGGAAGGCATCCACCAAGTGGTTCAGGAGGAGGTAGTAAATTCACAGCTGCAGCAATATCAACAACTTCAGACGTATCATTATGGAAAGACGACAGCATTGACTGAAAATGAAAAAAAAAGATTAGTGTTACTTCAAGCAGTTAATAATTGACAATGTGTAGTCGATTATGACTAACGATAATTTGCTATAATATATCTATGTATAGCTTGTAAGGTTGAATGTAAACTACCTCATCGTTATTGTAACTTACTTCAGCTTCTACCATTTTTTTTATTGCAAAATCAATAATCTCTTTACTTGAAACCATTAAAAGTCAGTGAATTTCACTAGTCTAATATGAACTAAGAAATTGTGTGAAAAAAAACTTGTTTGGATTCACCTCTATAAACAGATTGAAATATGATGATAGACCTGTAAGCAACAGTGATAAAGAAGTTGACAGTAGAAAGAAATAACTAGTAACTAATTAAATTACTTAGAAGTAAGGTGGCTGTTCTAGAAATGAAAACAAAAATCCAAAGATAAAAGGTTAATTATTTGCACACAAAGCACATAAATCGAACGATACACTAAACAAGCTGCAGGTATCTTTCAATTTTCATCAGTATAATCATGATGATCATTAATAGTTGGATAATATAGATGAACATGTTTCAATATCAATTATAGAGAAGTAGCTAATTTTGTATGAAACTTGAACTTTTTAACAATGCAGTTTAATATTCATTGGAATTTTTTTTAGTTCATTCAAATAAACTCTAAACTAGAGTAGTGTAAGAATTTGAATCAATAGACTACTTTGTACAGCACAGCTCTACATTCTGATTTGGTAATTATACAGTAACCTGATACCACAACGTCAATCATACCAGCTCAAATAAAAACATTATAATTGCTAGTCAAAATAAATTAACTACATTTCAGACATGCTCACTGTATACATTTGACCTGTCAAAAGTCTATAAGATATCAGTAAAATGTATGTATGCAAATGACTACTACCCCAAATAAGATATTTAGATTTAAAGAATCATTATACATTAAACATAAATAGTTGAGTCTATCCAATCATAATGTGTTACATAACATAAAATAAAGATGATGAAAAATATAACGATGATGGTGAGTAGTAAATATTACTATGAATATTTACCTTGATGAATTCTTCAACAGCCACAGAATTTCGATTTGTAGTAATGCTTGAAGAATGATCATCTGTTAAAGGAGAAAGTGGAGCAGATGTAACTACAGTAGGCTCCAGTTGAACAGTATCAGCTGAAGTTAGGGGGCTATGACTCTCACCATTTCCCATGACTAATTTGCTACCATGAGATGAATTTTGTACTCCAATCTGGAAATCACGAGGATATTTCAATTTCATTGATTCTCGATACTGAGCAGTACGTTCACGAGCCCAAGATACAGCATCCGGTGCTGAAACACCAAAACCGACACAATTACCTGAAGTAGAATGATCAGTATTTGTGACTGAACTACAACAGTCATTTGAGGTATGTAAGAAAGGTGGACCCATAACCATAAAACAATTTTCCGGTGAATGTTGCAGAAATGGAAGTAAATACCTTAAAAATTTTTTACAAAATATGAAATAAATAGGAGGAACATATACCAAGTAAATGTAAACAGTTCGATAAATTTGAAACAATAATCACTTTTAAAAACTTTTAGTCATTTAAAAGCAATGAATAATAAGTAAAGTCAACAGAATATGGTCTGAAAGTTTTAAAGACTCACCAAATGTCGTTTAAAAGCAGTTTATCAAGTAGCCAGTAAATGGTCGAGTCAATGAAAGTTCGTATTTTGAACTGACCAAGATACAATGATGAAAATTACACAAAAATATTTTCACAGCCAAATTATTTGACAAATTTAAATGACACGATAAGTTCACATGCTGATATAATTATTTGGTAGTACAATTATTCTTTGACAATTATTTACAAAGTGACAAATGACGATGAGGTAACGAATTTTAATCTTAGTCTACTTATAAAAATTACTAAAGTGAGGTATGACACAGGGTAAGAATTGAGCCTAACAATAGGGCTTAATTTTAACCGCACTTGAATGACCTACGAAATTCATCTCTCGCAATGTTTTATAATTCAGTTAATTTTTTTCACATTTGTTTTTGTCTTTTAAATAAATAAATAATGTTCAACTAACTAACTGCCTCAGTTCACTGAGTGCTTATGTCAGAGTAATTCGATCCTGTAAGCAGTTACCAGTTGACCAGGTTGTATACTGTGTATGGCCATCACTTGGCCGGCGACATCTCATCACTACTGCATATCAACTTATCAATCAGTATTGGATACATCATATTAACAAACCGAAACTCGTTTAAATTATTGAGCAATAATCGATAATAAATTGATAAGTTGTCTATGAACTTAGGACACTTAATAAATTAACTTAAAAAATAAAACGATTACATTTATAAATCATTCATTTGAATATTAATTTTTTACCGTAAAATAACTAATAACAACAAATCTATGGAGACTTATGGAATACACCGATGACTCTATATGGTGTCGAACCAGGAACACTCAAGTTTTTAACGATATTGTTTAGTTAATCATGAAGGGTTTGTTTAAATTACACAAAATCTTGTTGAAATTATCCAACCAAATAAATACTCTGCTAAGTCTGGATGGATTCCCTTACCTGTCACCGGGTAAATCCTGGAATTCTAATGGCAGAGCGTTTTCAGGTAAACCAACACGAGCCAAAAGTAGCTTTCTGAATAAACTATACATACATGGTTTATCCTCAGGTTTATATGGTCGAACAACATATGATGGAAACCTTGAAAAATTCGGGAAGATTGAAGGTTGAATCGGAATCATTGGGGGAACAGCAGGTGGAAGTGGTGTGTATACACTTGGTGCATTATCAGGCCAATTCAAATAAGGAATAGTAGTCATCCCTGGTACAGCACGACTCGGTGCAGGGAAAAGATCTTGAGCAGATTCAAGTGGTAAAATTCTCTACACAGGGAAAAAAAATCAAATTTTAAAGAGCCTTTAAACGTTTGCAACGTAAAAAATAATAGATGATATTTTAATATCATACAGACTACAGTATAACAAACTGTCGAAAATGTAGACAGAAAGAGATCCGACTTTTAGCAATTTAAACAAATAAAATACCAGGATTATCATCTAAGAGACTTGTTTATACCGACTGCATCTTGAATATATATCTGGTGTAAAACCTTACGAGGAATAATTTTTTAAATTTAATGACCTCTTTATTTTTAAAATATAACTTATTTTAGATAATAAACCTGAATGTAATCGATTAAATCAATTTACAACTAAGTAAGTAACTTCCAGAACTATTTAAGTATGAATAGTCCCATGGATCGAATGATCATCTAAGCATACAATTAAAACATACGATTGAAAATAGAAAATTTTTATAAGCATAGAATAGAAATTCGGCACTGAGTGATCAATGAGTAATGACCACTTTCATGTTTGTTTGGTAATTTAATCCTAACTAAATTTCATAGGGAGAGTTGCAATGTGCACAACACCACAAAATAATGCACCTGTTGCTCTGGGTCACTTAGATTAGTGGTCCTACCTAGAAACTTAATCGATAGAATTAGGTGGTGAATAAAGAACCCAACAAACATGAAAAGTCACTACCTAGTAACCAATCAATTGTAGATATTTCAGTCCTACAAGAGGTTAGTGGACGTCAAAATAGCTCAGTAGTAACGTCTCAGATTATGAATCTGAATTACGAACGTACTAATCCCACTGGGAGTACTAGTTTCCTCAAGATTGTATCTATGACTTAGTACTAACCAGCACAAAACCCGGATCCGAAATTTCCTACCAACTACCTTCAAATGGATTAAAATTAACCAAAAAGCACAATCATCATATTTACCTGAAGTTCCGTTATCAACCCACCACGAAATGTCCATGGTTCTTGATCGCCAGATGTTACCATATCACGGTAGCCAGGTGAAAACCCTAAAAGTTAGAGAGATGGAAGATGTTAGATGAGAATTTTTAAAAAGATGTTCAGTCCTCATGATACACTGAATGAAGCGTGGTGTAACATAGATCCACATGGGAATTTACAAAGCTTAGACAACAACCAAATATCAAACAGCAATATAGTCTAGGAAGATTAAGATACACCATGTACCTACATTAAGCATAACGGTGGCACATCTGGACTGATTCATCCAGGAAATATGAATTACCCAAAGTACACAACCTTGACATAGATAGAAGACAAATACTCGGCACTAAAACGAGTTCTTAAAAGACCCTTCCCATTTCTAGTAAGTGAATTCCACTGTGGTTTATTTCTGGAACTAGTACTAATATAGAGATTTATTTGGATACACCGTCGTCCTTGATTTTAAAGCCTAAGCTTGTAATTTGTTACAACAATAAATAATGAAAGAGGTTTCTTTTTCTCATGCATATTCATGTATACATAAACTAACAGTGGCTACAACAAGAACAATATATATACGCAAGTTGATTTTTATGAAAATAATTTATATCACAACATTAAATTAAATTAAGAATTAATCAAAATTTTGATAATAATTTAAGATTTCAGAATAGTGTACATTAATAACTTTGTAGGGTATCCGGTTCAAGAGCATTATGTATGAATAACTAAAATAACTTCATTTGATATACATAAATAAAAGCAAAACTATCAAAACTTACATGTTAAAAGCCGCTTTAAATGAGACATGCTACGAAAAGCCATGACTCCGGTTTCTGTAAAATATTAAAATAAAAACGGTAAGTATAAACTGTATAATATAGTCACGCTACATATCTGGGAGTTTAAGTTAATAGATGGAATAATCTTACTATTTCAAAACATTTAACCATGAATAAACTTGCATTCAGTTTTATTATGAACATAATTTTAGAGTAATACAAATAGAGAAGACACGTTATATCAAAAAAACTAGCCTTCATTCTAAGATGATATTAAAGATGGGTTATGTTTAAATGAATACGTTCCAAATATCGTTAGGAAACAATAGACAATAAATGCTTTAACTGCAGGTTTGAAAAGTAATTTCATTAACGAGTTTGCTTAAACAAATAACTTAAGTGACAAATACATGGAAAGATACATACATATATAATAAAGCTTACCTAACCATCGAAAATAATCCAGGATAATCCCAACCACAGTATAAACTTCAGTTATATATGGAGCTAGTTCATAGGAGATACTTTTAGATGGTAAACGTTGTATACGATCTCGTATTCGACTAATTGCCGAAACCATATCTATATAATCTGAAAACTTTTTATTCCATTCAGTTGCTTTCTAAAAGTTAAATATAAAATATTGCACTATACAACTATTTTCACTTCATTAACTCGATAAAGTTTTAATTAGTTAACTTGTTAGTTTAATTGAAAGGCTATCAAGAAAATACATTTAAACAATATATACACACACTTTGATACACGTTGCGAATCTTAACCAATCATTTGGTCAATAATTAGCTTCTATAATTGAAAAAAGATGAAACCCCATGATAAGAAGAGAGTTTCTTATTTTCTCGTTCACAACAGTAAATAATGGGAAAAAAAATCTTCAAATTATGAAGTGTATCAAAGTCATGTCATGGATAATAAAAAATGTAACATTTTATCGAGTATTTCTAGTGGATAGATTCACTACAAACTTAGTTGGATAGAATTAAGAGAACATTTTTATTAATGACTGAACTCTATATACATTTATTATTCAGTGTATAATACAAAATAAATAAATAAAATGAATAGAAAAGAGGAAATAATAATATTTCCCATTGTTCATATTCATTAATAATAATTTGAATTTCAAATGTTAACAAAACAGTAATACACCATTCCTTCTATACTCTTGTTCTAATAAAAAAAAATAGTTGAAGGTGAATTAACAAACAAGTCGATGAATAAATACAAAGGATAAAGTAAAGTATTGACAAATCTCCTTCTTAGTAGCGAATCCTTTGTGTCTGTGAATTTGCATACACTTCTAGCTACTGATAATGTGAAACATTTACCGGTGATGTTTGACATAAGCTAATAATTCAAGTAATTATTAACATTGAATTCTGTGCACACATTTATTGAAAACTTGTTGATCATAGTAGGATAATAAAATTAAACCAGTAACATGTATAACTTAGTCGTTCAAACAAAAAAATTGTAAAAAACGGAATCATGCACAGATATCACTAACTTATGAAACTAACACAAAATACAGATTATTACAATCGAAATAGTTTAAACAGTATTTGATTAGTTGGTATATGAAAGGAAAGAAAAAAAGAAAAAAATATGTTGACTTCCTATTAGTGATCAGTAGAAAGTAAAACTGACTATACTCAGATAAACAGACATTGCGTCACTATTCATTTTATGTTATAGATAGAAAAAAGTAGGTATAAATTAATAAAGACTATAACTTTTTTGCATAACTAATGATTATTAATTACCTCAAGATCAGATGGATTAGGTCCACAAACATATGAATATTCACGTAACCAATGGCCTAATTCTAGTAGACGAATAGCTGCAGGTCCATGAGAGAAAGGTAAGTAGAAAAGATCAGCAAACATTTCCAAATCCTCTAAAGTAACAGCGACTGAATTTACATCACCTATAAAGATATAATATATTTCAGAAAGAATACATATTTAAAGTGGTAGTAGTAACAATAATATTAATAGTAATGATAACAGAGTGAAAAGTAAATAATTTTGATGAGAGATTATAGATTAATTTACCTATGAGCTGTCATATAGAGAATTTACCTGTACCAATCTACGTTTGCATTAATGTAACTTCAATTATGTATTAACTGAAATTATAACAGTTGACTGTACTGTACTACAAACACAATAATAATAATAATAAGCATAAATTGCTTCTATAATAATTTCCTTTTGTCTAATAATACAAAACAGACGTGTGGCAAATATATAATTATTTACTTAATTAATCAAGAATATATTATTGCACGAATGATCTAGATTTATTTGACATAATTAAAAGCTTACTAACATAATAGCTAAACGATTAGAATACGATATGATTAAGTAGTAATCTTCAGTTTATCAGATTAATCATTTTACTCACTTCATGTATGCATGTTATTTCAACAGTCTGATCAATGACATAACAAAAAATACAACGAACTAGCTAAACAAAATCATCCAGTGAAAATCCGCTCGGGTTACTGATCGGAAACAGATAGGATACACCTTCATAACTTAATTAACATTAGTTTCAATTTTAAATGATTTATCGGTGGTTTAAGAACTAGATTTTCAATTATTTGAAGTCATAGGCTTGATTCATCCGTTCTATTTACTTCAGTTGGAATGAGAATTTGTCAGATTAAGGATTTTCTAGAAAGCTTATAATACGTTTCTTTAAAAAATAAAAGTGCAAATATTCAGTGGCATTACAGTACTACCTCTTTTCCATAAAGTACTAATTACAGGCACATGTGATAAATAAAATCTTAGAAATTCTGAGTCATCAGTCAGTTATCGTCTCACAGACCCCAACTAGGTAGTCTACACCTACAAACACGGCTCAGACCACTTTTGTCGGTGATTTCATGAATTTGTGCCATGTTTTGGCTTGGCCGGCCTTAGCTTTATTCCAACATACTCCTTAACTCAGTCAGTCAGTCAGATGCAACGTAGAACTTTGTACATAAGTACATCAGTTCATGTTGCCATACCACATCAGCACAGAGAAGTAATCGTCAATTCAAATCCAATAGTAGAAGAGGTAGTAAGGGAATTAGAAATAATCGGAGAGGTTAGGATTAGAAGATACTACTCAAGAAGTATGATTCAGTGAGAAAAGTTTAGAGAGTCGAAACTAGAGGGGTTGAAGAATCCAGAAGATTAGCATTTGAGAGAACACTGAGAATAAATGCACTGGCGCCATTGCGAACGATTTTGAGCCATGTCATTCAAGGTCTCTAGCCATCGATTATTATCATCTCGCGGACCCCAACCAGGTAGTCGACAATTACCGACATGGCTCAGTCCACTAGTCAATGACTTCATGGATTTCTGCCATGTTTTGGTTTGGCCGCCCCTAACTTTCTTCCAAACTACTCCTACACTACAAAACAAAGCTCTTCGAGGCAGTCGGTGGTTCGGCATACGCAACACATGTCCCAACCACCTCAACTGGTGAAGTTTCAATGCTTCATCGATTGATCTGCCATTCTTACCTAGCACCCGATTCCTAATAACAGCGTTGCTCACTCGGGTGTCCCACGATATACGAGCAATGCTTCGAACACACCTATGATCGAAAACCAGTAACCTACGAATATCTTCTACTCTCACTGGCCATGTTTCACAGCCATAAAGTAAGACGGAGCGAACTACTGCGCAGTACACTCGTCCTTTAGTCAGCAAACGGATATCTCGCCTACGCCATAAGTGACGCAGGTTGGCAAAAGCCAATCGAGCCTTCTGTATCCGAGCTGAGATTTCGTCAGTCACCAGGCCATCGGCACTGATGAGACTCCCAAGATAAGTGAAGCGGTCTACACGTTCAACCACTTCACTCCCTATCACTAGTTCAGGTGCCAATGCAACCCAGTCTTGAAGCAACATTTTGCATTTCGAGGGGGAAAACCGCATCCCGAACATGCTTGCATTGTTGCTTAGGGTAGTCAGAAGACTCTGCATTTTGTCAGCATCTTCACCAAGTAGGACAATGTCATCGGCATATTCTAAGTCAATAAGCGAGCCACCTGGAAGAAGGTCTACTCCTGAAAATTCAGCCGAGGATAATGTTATGTCTAGGAGCATGTCTATGATAAAATTAAACAACAATGGAGAAAGTGGACATCCCTGACGGACACCACTTGATGTAGAGAATTCCGGTGACAGTTCGCCATAAGCCCTCACCCGACCAGTGGTGTTCGAGTAGAGTGCTTGTATAAGGTTAATGTACTTCTGTGGTACACCTTTCAATGACAGACACTGCCACAGAACCTCACGATCAACAGAGTCAAATGCCGCCTTAAGGTCTAGGAAAACAACTATTGTAGGACGCCTAAATGTGTGTCTATGTTCCAGGAACTGTCTGAGTGTGAAGACGTGGTCTATACAGCCACGTCCAGGTCGAAAACCAGCCTGGTTTTCTCGAGTCTGCTCTTCACGAGCTTTCGTTAAGCGTCGAAGTATTATTGAGGCCAATATTTTAGATACTATATTAGTTAGACTTATTCCTCTGTGATTGTCACAAGAAGACTTTTGTCCTTTCTTATAGATTGGGACAATCAAGGATTGAGACCAGTCGGATGGGATTACGTCCAGTTCCCAGATTTTACCTAAGATCTCAGTCAATCTAGCTGCTAAAACTGGACCACCATCCCTGAATATCTCAGGGGTCAGTCTATCAGGACCTGCAGCTCGTCCTCGTTTCAGATTTCCTAACGCTTTCTCAACGTCATTAAGACTAGGGGGACTTACGTCGATTTGCCATTCAGGATGACTGGAGATCGTGGGTAACTGAAGAGTGGCTCGAGGCCAGTTGAACTGATCCCTAAAGTGTTCTGACCATCGATCCAGCCTCCTGGATTGAGAATGGATAATAGTCCCATCCTTTTCCGAGATAGTCTCACTCACATTCGGGTTCTTAATACCGGTTTCTTTGATAAGGCGGAAAAGTTGTCTACTGTTGCCTATCGCCGCTGCCTTTTCCATCGCTTTTGCTTTCGCCACCCACCACTGTTTGCGATCGTTACGCAGACTTTTTATAAGTCTGTGCCTAAGCTGACTACGCTCTTCATCATGCTCAGAGTCAGGTGGGATGCGTTTTCGAGCATCCATCAGTTCGGTGGATGCGACTGAAATCCACGGCTTCATCCTAGCCTCATGGTTTACCTTACTAGCAGATATCACTGCTGTTTCCACAGCCTTTTTGATATCATACCAACCTGCTTCTGGATGGGAATCGCTTGCATGGTTGCTTAACTCTCTTTCTAGTTGCTCCTGAAATATTTTCTTAGTTTGAGTATCATTAAGTAAAACCCTAAGAGGCTTCCTTACGGTGTCTTTCCTACGTCCAGTAAGCCTTAAACAGATACGAGCTCGCACTAGAGCATGATCTGAATCCAAACATGTGCCCCAGAACGAGCGACAGTCCTCTATCGAACCCCTCCATCGGTGGCTGATGGCGATGTGATCTAGTTGAGTCCAACGTTGAGACGACTTTGGAGGTCGCCAGGTCAACAGATGCTTTTCCTTATGCCTAAAGTTGGTGTTCGCTAAGAATAGGCGGTTATCTGAGCACAGTTGCAACAGACGGTCACCATTGTCTGTTCTCTCAGTCGCTACACCATAACATCCACCAAGATGTCTTTCCTTTTCACCTAGTCTACCTACTTGAGCATTAAAGTCACCAGCCATTATTACTATATCAGAGCGCCTAGCTTTTTGGAGGAGGTCCGAAAGCTTTCTGTAAAACTCATCTTTAACCTCGTCTGCACTGCAGTCAGTGGGGGCATAGGCAGATATGACGAAGAGGCAACGGCGAGTGTCCCTATCCTTACGAGTCCTTACTGTCCCGTTTAGTCGGACAGCGCACAAACGACTATCTACTGGGATCCAGTCTAGGAGAGATAATTCTGCCCTAGGACTCCTTAACTACAAAATATTGTCTAGGCAGTCGGTGGTTGGGCATTTGTGACACATGTCCCAACCATCTCAACCGATCAAGATTCACTACTTCATCAACTGATTTGCCATCCTTACCTAGTACCCTTTTCCTAATGGCAGCATTGCTTACTCGGTTATCCTAAGATACACGAGCATTGCTTCGAAGACATCTGTAATCGAATACTAATAACCTACGAATATCTTCTACTCTCACTGGCCATATTTCACACCCATGTATGATGGAACGAAGTGGCAGTGGCGAGTGTTCCTATCTTTCCGAGTTCTTACTGTCCGACTAAACAGTCGGACAGCGCACAAGTGACTGTCTACTGGGACCCAGCCTAAAAGAGCTAGTTCTGCCCTAGGACTCAATGCTATACCTACACCAGCGAAGTCACGGGAAGCAGCAACAGGGCTCCCAGATAGAGAAAGCGTAAACCAAGTTGGTTCTTTATCTGGACAAGGTGAAATCGGATTAACGATTCTACTAAGATCCTGTAAGCACGTTTCAGAGACGCAACATACATCGATGGCACGAGATTCCAGAGTCCTAACCAAGGAAACTTATTGCCCTATATGACTCAAGGTTTGAACACTAAAATCTCCAACATTTAGTTTTAGATTGAGTTTTAATAATTAACAGATAACGAGCACATAATATTACTCTTCTGACTATATTATTATTGAAAATAGACACTGAAAAACTGTTACTGAAGAGAGAAAACTAACAATTAACTAAACTGTTTGGACTGCTAAAATGTTGAATATAAATTCAAATGCTCTGGCACGACCGTGAGTGGAGAGAGTCTGCTCTTCGTCCCTCTGAGAATACTCTCATGTCTATAAGTGTATAGCCACTGCCATGAGAGTCTTACACACTGCCTTCTCATGGCAGGGATGTTGTTTATGACAGTGAGAAGACGAAAAGCAAGTAGTTGGTCCCTCAATCGGGTTGGTGGGTCCACCTACGGGAAAACCCTGATTTCAAAACAGTGGTGTACATAGGCTCCAGGATCCTGACGGATCGAATGGTGTGTACTTATAGTTGGTCAACGGCTACCATAGAACTGCATCTCATGATGTTGCCATATGGATTAGACTTTTGGGTCAAAGACTCAGAGTAGTCCCCTAAGAAAACCACATGCTTTCGTTTAGGCGTCTGGGCAGTACCTCAGCCCACACACAAATTCAATAATTTGCGCGGAGCATAAATATTTAGACGCCCCTTTGTACCAATGCTGATGTGTTTGGATACAAATATCAATCACTTGTAAACAAACATTTACGTCATATTAGTAATAGATACTTTTCTTATCATCAAATTTAACTGACTAACCTGAAATAGGAGTTTCATAAGAATTATTATCAGAAGTTACGATCGCATTGGAAGGAGGGAATTCAACCTAGTAATTAAAGATAAAAATTTACACGGTAATTAATACTTGTATAGACCTAAAAACAACTTATTGAAAAGCATTATTTGATAATGGTGCTACTGTTCAACTTATTGATACACTATGAAATAGTTGGCTTTAAAATTAACCGATAGTCATGGTTAATCAATTGCATGAGACTGTCTTGACATTTGTATTGAAAATTCTGTTGTTGTTTGGACTGCCAGATATTCGTCGACTGAAGAAATACAGTCGTTGCTTTCCCGATTAGCACCTTCAAACCTGCATCTGATCCACTTTCCTCATCAATGACGCTGCCCATATATGTTAAGTTTTTACATTCTTCAAGGCATCTCCATCAAGTGTGATTTGGTTGACACATAATGTGTTGTATCGTAGAATCTTGCTCTTCCCTTTTTGTATGCTGAGACTGCTAATGCACTGGTCGTCTTCTCTTGCATTTGTTGTTGTGTGTGAGATAGAAGAGCAAGATCATTTGCGAAATCCAGATCGTCCAGCTGAATCCTGGCTGTTCATTGGATACCGCACTTTCCTCCAGATGTTGACGTCCTCATAATCTAGTCGAGCACCAGGAGAAAGAGTGTGAGAGCAAGCAAACTCGCCTGACACCGGTCTTCACCTCGAACGAGTCTGTCAGCCGTCCTCCGTGCACGATTTTGCAGTTTAATCCATCACAAGAATTCCTTATGATGTGCATTATCTTCTCAGGCACGCCGTAGTGCCAAAGAAGCCTCCATAGTGTTGTCCTGCTCACACTAGCGAACGCTTTCTCGTAGTCAATCGAGTTAAAGTAGATTGGTGAGTTCCATTCAATTGATTGTTCAACAATGATCCGTAATGTTGCAACTTGGTCGGTATACGATCGATTCTTACGAAATCCAGCATGTTGATCTCGAAGTTGGGCATCTACGAAGTCCTTCATTCTGTTTGACAACATACTGTTGAAGACTTCACCTCGTATTGAGAGAAGAGTGATGCCTCTGTAGTTCTCACACTTGCTCAGATAGCCTTTCCTTAGTGTCTTAGTCAGGTATCCTTCTTTCCAGTCTGTTGATACTTGTGCTTCGTCCCAAATCTTGTTGAAGAGAATGTGGGAAAATTTCGCAGTTGAGACCACCTCTGCTTTCGTTGCCTCTGCTAGAATGTTGTCTGGTCCTGCTGCTTTGCCGCTCTTCATTTGTCTGATGGCCATACTGATATCTTTAATTGTTGGTAGGCCAACATTCATTGGGAGGTCCAATATTGGGTGGGTTTCACGGGGCTGGTCGATTCAAGACATCCTTAAAGTGCTATACCCACCTGTTTCGCTGTTCTTCAGTGTTGCTGATTACTTTACTTTCCTTGCCTTTCACTAGTCGTTCTGGCTCACGATAGTTTTCAGCGAGCATCTTTGTTGCACCGTACAATGGTCTCAAGATTCCTTCTCTTGCAGCCTTTTCTGCCGTCTTTGCTAAATCCTCCAGATATTTCCGTTTGTCAGCTCTGATGCTCTTTTTCACTTGCTTGTTTGCTTCTGTGTATTGAGCTTATGCCTTGACTTTCTCTGCTCTTGTTTAGCTGATGTTGATCGCTGCCTTCTTGTTCCTCCTATCTTGAATTTTATCAAGAGTACAAACAGAGACCCACCCCTTATGATGGTACTTAATGTGGCCCAGGACCTCCTGACATGTTGAAGTGATCGCCTCCTTGATCCCTTTCCAATTGTTCTACCTAGTAGTTTCCTTTCCATATAGTAGATCGTGAAAAGCCTGGAACCTATTGCTGACGGCTATCTTGAATTCGTTCAGTAGTTTGTCAGTATCTTGAAGAAAGGGCGTATTAAACTTCTGTGATGTTTTCCACCCCACTGTCCAGTGCTTCTTGAGTTTCAGTTTCATCTTGGCGGCCAGCAAGTGGTGATCTGAGGCTATATCAGCTCATCTCTTGGTTCGCACATCTTCCATAGTCCTTCCGAACTTTTTATTGATACATATATGGTCGATTTGGTTCTGAGTAGTGTGATCCGTGGAAATTCACGTAGCTTTGTGGATGCGTTTGTGTGGGAATATTGTGCCGCTGAAGATCAGTTTGTTGAAGGCACAGGGGTTTGCAAATATCTCACCATTTTCGTTCCTTTCTCCCAGTCCATGACGTCCCAAGATGTGTTCATATCCAGTGTTATCCATGCCAGCCTTGGCATTTAGGTCTCCCATTAGAATGGCCAAATCCTTTGGTGAGCATCTATCGACGACTGGCTGTAGCCTCTCGTAGAAGTGATCTTAAAAGTCATCAATGTGGTCGTTGGTAGATGCATAGCATTGGAAGACGTTCACTGTAATGCCTTCTTTCTTTGTTTTAAAGGATGCTTTGATGACCCTGGGTCCATGAGATTCCCATCTTGTCAGTGCCTTTTGTGATTTTTTGAACAGCATCAGTGAAACTGCTGGTGTGTGTGATGCATTTTATTCTTCATGACCGGAGTATAACAGCAGCTCTTCTGATGCCAGTCTTAGTCGTCCAACCTAGGTCCGATGCGTTTCGCTGATTCCAAACACCTCCACGTTGTATCTTTTCATTTCTGCAGCAACTTGAAATAGTCTTTCAATCTCCCACAATGTTCGAACGTCCATGTACCTAAAAGAATGGTTGCTCTGGTTGTCAGAAGGGGTATCAGCCTCGTGAATTCCGAAGGACCTTGGCTTTCATCATGAGACGTCATAACTCTTCTGAACGAAGACCTTCTAACACTCAGGGCTGAGTTTCTTCCTGGTTAGAGCTTTTTTAGCGAGTTAGTTTTCTACAGGATGGGGTGGCCAACCCCATTCCCAACCCTCCTCCTTTATCCGGGAACGGGACCGGCAGTAGCCCCAGAGGGACTCCAGGCGCAGTTGGGCCATACAAAAGTCCAGACAATGTTACAATGTTGCTGGTAACAGGAAAGATTTCGGAAATCTTTAAATTGATCAACATAGATAGGATTATGTGACTTGAACTTATGCAAGGAACACTTTAATTGATAATTGCAACAGTGATTAAAGCAAAATGACGTAACTAAGACAACCAGTAATATACTATATGAAATTTCAAGATAATTGATATACAATGGGATATTTTAAGAAAAAATAACCAACTTGTATAAGACTATTCTTAATTTACCTGCATGGGAGCTTCGTTTTGACCATTCTCAAGGTTATCTGTGTCCATAGGCGTAGGAGTACCTATAGCCGTACTGGGTTTTGAAGCACCAACCTTTAAATGAAAATTTAGAGATATGTCTTGATAAATGAAGACCCTAACGAGAAACCAATGAAAATTTCAGAGAGAAAGCCAAAAACAGTATCAAATGTCAAGTAACCGAAAATGCTCTGAAAAATTATCGCTGAATTTACACATGGGTTATACTAAATTCACGGTCTTTATATGTTAACTTTCACTTTGGTTTATGATTAAAACGTATGAGAACAAGATACTTTGTGAAAGGCTACAGTAAAGATGATATATAAATTGATGTTATGAATACTACTTATAAAAACTACCGAATGGATCATAATTTATGGTGAATTAAGTTTAAAAACAGTCAACTACATATTAACAGTACCTTAAGATATACAAAGCAACATTAAGCATTTCGTTAATCTCATACGAAATTGTTTATTGAGAAGTAGTAAACCGACCCCCACCCTCTGAAAATTAGTGACGTTTACGGATAAAAATAATGTCATTTTTTGAAGAAACAAGCGATCCCAGAAAAATCAACTATTACTACGTACGAACGAGTCACTGTACAATATACACTGCAAACGCGATCACAAAGTTTATAAAATGGAAAATATGCCTATGAATGGGTACCAACCAGCATAAATTTTCGATTGATGTGCCGAGGTCTTGATGGGTGAAAGAGATTAGTTGAACATATGCAAACGATGGGCGAATAAATGAGACAATAACCACGTACATGTTAGTGAATCAGGTTGTAAGCCACATCCAATGTGTAACCTTTAGTGACATCACCTTGGTGTCTAAACTCTGATGTATTGTAGATAACAAATTAGATTTACACCTAAGGAAAAATTGTTAACTCAGAAAAATAAACAACAGTCAATGTGTATGTACACTCACCTGAAGCATTAATGCAAGCCAATCTCGTAAAGCTATACGAAGAGCTTCACGAGGTCTGTAAACAGATGCATATTGTCGTTTTCTATTTACATATTCATCTTGACAGACAGATGCGTGTTCATTATTATCACCTGACTTTTGATCATCGACACCATCATCAATCATCTCGTTATCATCAGAAGCATTAGATTCGAAATCTTCACTTGTACACAGCATTTCTGTATCAGTTGATTGTATTATATGTTTGCTACCAGCTTGCCTACATTAAAAAGTGAAATATAAATTAATTTTAATATATGATCTACTTAAAATACGGCCTACGAAAAAACCATGTGATCAACAGTATACAACACTGTTATTCCTCCTTACAGTATAACGGCTGTTTGCGATATTGAAACGTACGTCCAAAGGTTGAGAATAAGCAAGATATATATTCCAGTGGTGTATCACTAAATCCAAAACTGAGTTCACCAACTTCTAAACCACATTTCCACCATAAAACAGTCGACTAAAGTTAGGAGTGCGTTTTATATAAATTACACTCCATGTGAAATTTCAAGAAAATCGTTGCGATAATACTGAGGAGAGATAATAAATACAACAGAAACTGGGCGAGTTTTCTCAGCTTAATCGGTTGTTCGAGTAACAAAAATTTAAATCTTGATATATTATTGAGTAAATGAAAGTTCATTTTTTAAAATACTGAGATACAGATCATTATGATAATAGAAGGAAATGTAAATAGGTTATAAGATCCGAGAAAGTTAGAATTTACCTAGACCATTGTGCAAGAGTATGCAACGCCACATAGTTTGCTTCAAATTCACAATTTGGATTTGTTAACACGCCTCTAAGCAAGCCTTTGCGGCGTAAAGCTAAAGGTCGACCACTGTATGGTCCGATAAATACGCGACGCTGGTCATAATCATTAGCATGTAAATTATCCCACAAAACGATAGGATGTTGTAGTAAGGCAGATAATTCCTGCAGCTCCTTAGTTAAAATTCGTTTAGATACCACAAGTGGACCGGTCCAGATGACAGCGATACCTAAAATTAATAGTTGGGCGTTAATTACAGAAAATAAACATTAACTTTGAGAATCTATTCACTACAAACTTATTGATATGTTTGTAGTTATATTTTAATATCGATTATATAAGTCGAATCATAGTTGCTTTTTCCAAATAGTTATGAAATTCAGACAAATAATGATACCTAGTTTTTACTTTCATTCATAATTACAAGAAAGGTGAAGAGAACAATTTTGTAGATAAAACTACATAGCTATAGTAAAACTAAATAGCAAAGTACTTCCAAATGCAAATATATTGAATATATTTATTTAGAAAGGAATTTTAAGTACGTAAAAAATATGAAACAAACAAGATTTAGTGAAACTATTAACTTTAATGAAACCTTTAAACCAAATACTCTACACACTCTCATGAGTATTCAAATGAGTTGAAATAAAAAACAGGAAGTGATAAACAAAATCGTAAAACCACAACCACATAGTAAAACGGAGATGTCGTTTTGTCTATGCCATATACAATGTAGGTTCATAAAAGCCAATGGAGCATTTTAATTTCATGTCACCCATCGAATCAATATAGTCAGCAAAACCTCAAAGATAAAGCAGTGCTCAACATATTGGACTACTTTACTTTATTTGATCAAACTAGGTATTCATATAAGGAAACCCTGAAGCGAAATTTCGTAATTAAAAGGCATTCAGCAGATTGTGTTTAGCCGGTATCTAGACCGAACATAATCATTTCATATGAACACTCGATCGATGAGTGAGTCTCTTAGAATAGAATGAATTCGAAACTTTAAACGATTCTGATCTAAGTTGCTGGGAGAGTGGGTACAGCCAATTTTCCTCTGAAGTACGTCTTTGAAGAATTCAAGCTGGCACACCATCAACCGCAGACTTTACTAATACGAGGTTTCTTATTAAGAGTAGCATGGATTCATTGGAATAATAAGTGGATCCACTAAAAAAAACTCTATAGCACAATAAAACTAATAGGTTCCTGTCCTCAATTAAACTGTCTACCATGAATGTACTGATATTGATTCCTGTACTCCTGATTCACCATAATCGACTGACAAGAGATGAAAGGTTTTGAAATTTCTACAGAAATCCCGTGTTCATATGTAGGATGCTTAGAAAAACTGGAAGAAATTTTGTTCAACACTGCAATTACGTCTCATGAATGTAACTACAGTTCATTCGTGCCCGCTGGTGATATGAGCTTAAATAATAACGATTATATCTGAAACTATTTCATGATTTTCTGGAACCGAGATTGTCAAACTCACTAAATGCCAGATCCCAGAAAAAAACCTGTTTCTATGGATCAAATAAAAATGATATAGCGATCCGATCGGAAGTGCCTTAGCGAAGGCTGTTTGATGACTACCAGAAAATGTCCTGCAGGACGGATAAACATCATAGGTCAATAAACAGCTTCCTTTCGTCAGGTGGAATATCACTTTATATATATACGAATTTTTGTACACATTCGTTAGTCAAATAGAATTTCCCCTCCGCTCTGGCCTTCTCGTCCAAGTAGCCAATATGAGGAGTTAGCATGTATCACGTCAAGATCTGGAACATCGCACACCACAACTTATTAGTTCATTAGACAAAATATTAGAAAGCAGCAAAATACAAATATATTACCTGGTGCTAAACAGGAAGCAACTGTTGCTAAATATTCTGACTTATTAATATTAGGTACTGCCAAACTTGCACTGTACTCTGTTGGACAGAATAAAAATACATCTGGACATCCTAAATGGTTGTAAATTTCATTGGCGAACATAACCTGAGCACGGGCTGATGAGTTAAATACCTCTCGATCTGCAGGACACAGGCGCGGTTCAATGTCATCAAAAAGAAGGGCGAATGCACGACAACCGAGCTTCGAAACCTAAAACATTAAAACCATACATTACTAATATATACGGGTTATCAACAAAAACCTAAAACGCTACTGACAATTAGGTAAAAGACAAGTGACTGTCTGGTAAGAATGTGAACTAATACAAGCTATGACAGTGGAAAAAAATCAATAAAACGAAAAGCAAAGGATTTCAAACGATGAATGCTGTGGAAATATCGGTTGTCTGAATATTGGAGAATGGGAGAAAACCGTTGAATATTACTAAGCTTAAGAACTAAAGGGAAGTAAGGAACGATTACATCTGATGACTGTGACCTACTTAAAGTTATGCCATCTAAAACCTCTGGCCGTAAATTACTATCATATTACTCACCTCTAACCAAGAGTTCAAGCACAGTTTAGAACCAGTTATCTTTTTTGGTAGAAGTAGTTAATTAACAGATGTATGTAGTTTTCTTTGACCTGGATGGCCTGACTATCAAGCTTTCACGGTCGTTTTAGACAACATTATCCATGCTTAATTCACACAGAAGCGGGTTTTTAATGATTGGGAAGAGATAATAAAGCTGATAATTAAAAATCCCACTTCTGCGTACAGTCCGGTACAAAAATGAAAGCCATCTAATAAAACCACCCAACTCAGAGAGTGCAACACTAAAAAAGGCATCCATACAAGCTACAAATCTTCATCACTTCAGATATGTGCGTGTTGTCAAAGTTAATAACCATTAAGTACGAACAGTTCAGAATACAGTAATAACAATAAACTATCAGTAAAGTATACTGCAATTCAAGAAAGAATGCGTGTGTACTTTAATGATGATTGATCACATTAGCTAAAGAAAATTGTTCGAGATGACTTCGACAGACTTTAATGAAGCTCAGAAGGTATATATATATATATATATGTAGTTTTTTGGTTTGAGGTTTTAATATTTACATAGTTTGGAATTTTTCCCGCACGGAATCGCTGAGATGTCAGTAATAAGGATTCTGAAGAAACACCCACCATAATACAAAGCAGAAAATGCATGATCTCCAAAAAGGCATTCACATAAATTAGTTAATAAATTCTAATATTGAACTGAAGTTGATATAATGAGCATTGGGATCAGTTATTGAGGATTAAGAACAGCTAATCATATATATAGACCAAAATAGTTGGGGTGGGGAAACACTAAATATGGGACAGTGAACTGACAGGCAATGACCAGAAGGCTTTCAGTCTACTTATCACCATAAGTAGCTCTAGTTACATAACCTCAAGTACAGAAATCTAATTAGTAAGCAATCATGATTCTGTGTTCGGACTAAAATTCAAGAGAACTCAACCCTTATTAATCGACTTATTATGTATATACTTACCTGATCAACCTTTTTCTTTAAAATATCTACTTCTTTGGCACTAGAAAACGTTACATCTAAGCCTGGTGATATCGCAAAAATAAAAAGTACTCCAGCCTCAGTGGACTCAGTAATCAAAAACTGAAGTTGCTGCTCTTCCTCTTGAGTGTACAAATCCCTCCATGACTGTCTGTGTTTAATATCATCCTTAGGAGCGTATAGGTAGGCATTCATCCCCATCTGGTTCATTCTTCGAAATAGTTCTTTCCGTTGAGGATAGGTCCAAGGTCGACCGTAAAAACCTAAATGCAAATCAAATCGAGGATGCGAAACATACCTTCAACGACGCCTGTAAGGAATTCTTTGTTTACAACTGCTTTACTGTCTTCGCTGGTCATTTTCAGAATTGAAGAGCCGTAGAATGCAACCTGATAAGCTGGTTGGAATAATCAAGATATGGTGAGGTTACAAGAGCTCCAGTAATCAAAGAGTAAGAACTTAACAGTTAATGTGGATTCAAATGACTTTTAAAATGAGAAAAATCTAAATTTACTTGCCGTTTTTAGCCTTCAATGAAACCTTTTATATTTGTAATTTTACAATCCCGACCGAAGCTGCTACCTTGACGTGGTGGTCGGGTTTGCGTATCGTGAAAACCCAACCAAGCTATATTGGCTTGAACATATGTTCCCGAAGGTTCTACCATGCCAGGCAGGTCGATTGGAAAACGATGAGACTAAAAGCAGCTACTCAAGGTCTGAGGGCGAAGTCGTACTGCTGACTGCAGAGGTGTGTGATAGCAGTAAGGTGTTTCCCTCGGACAACCAGCATCTGCAGCGATGCTCCCATCTCACAAGGAAGGAAGGGTTAGAAAAGGTCGACCTTAAAAATGTCACACCTCACACTACCTCACGGATTTCCGTCTCCCTGGGTAAGGGTGCCCACTAAGGGCCTTTAAGAGCGGAGCTAATCCTCTAAATACCTCTCATAAAAAGGCCGTGCGTGACCGGCCTCAAGCAGTTGTCCCTTGGGCTCTGCGGTCACGCACCAACACTAATCCATCTTCCTTTTCAGGTCCCTCAAGAAACAACCTTACACGGTGTGGGCAGCCGGGAAGTGACAACCGCCCTCATACCCGTAACAGCACGCGAGACCAAATTGGTCAAAATCAAATCCTTCCTACACCCCCTAATGTCTCTCTTATCGCTACGACTAACTCTACTCATACTCCCTTTTCTCACTGCACCGCTAATGCAGACGAAGCGAGATCACGAAACGTCGTTCCTGGTCTCCTGAAACCCCGTTCTAGACTACATGTTGGAGCTTTTAATGTACGGACATTGTGTCAAATAGGGCAACAGGCATCATTAGCTAGGACTTTAGAAACTCGTGCCATCAATGTATGCTGCGTCTCGGAAACGCGCATACAGGATCCTAGTAAAGTCATTAACCTGATTCCACCTTGTCAAAACGAAGAAGCAGCCCGATTCACTCTTCGTGTATCCGGTAGCCCTGATTCTGCTTCCAGGGGTCTTGCTGGCGTAGGCATAGCGTTGAGTCCTAGGGCAGAATTATCTCTCCTAGACTGGATCCCAGTAGATAGTCGTTTGTGCGCTGTCCGACTAAACGGGACAGTAAGGACTCGTAAGGATAGGGACACTCGCCGTTGCCTCTTCGTCATATCTGCCTATGCCCCCACTGACTGCAGTGCAGACGAGGTTAAAGATGAGTTTTACAGAAAGCTTTCGGACCTCCTCCAAAAAGCTAGGCGCTCTGATATAGTAATAATGGCTGGTGACTTTAATGCTCAAGTAGGTAGACTAGGTGAAAAGGAAAGACATCTTGGTGGGTGTTATGGTGTAGCGACTGAGAGAACAGACAATGGCGACCGTCTGTTGCAACTATGCTCAGATAACCGCCTATTCTTAGCGAACACCAACTTTAGGCATAAGGAAAAGCATCTGTTGACCTGGCGACCCCCGAAGTCGTCTCAACGTTGGACTCAACTAGATCACATCGCCATCAGCCACCGATGGAGGGGTTCGATAGAGGACTGTCGCTCGTTCTGGGGCACATGTTTGGATTCAGATCATGCTCTAGTGCGAGCTCGTATCTGTTTAAGGCTTACTGGACGTAGGAAAGACACCGTAAGGAAGCCTCTTAGGGTTTTACTTAATGATACTCAAACTAAGAAAATATTTCAGGAGCAACTAGAAAGAGAGTTAAGCAACCATGCAAGCGATTCCCATCCAGAAGCAGGTTGGTATGATATCAAAAAGGCTGTGGAAACAGCAGTGATATCTGCTAGTAAGGTTGACCATAAGGCTAGAATGAAATCGTGGATCTCAGTAGCATCCACCGATCTGATGGATGCCCGAAAACTCATCCCACCTGGCTCTGAACATGATGAAGAACGAAGTCAACTTAGGCGCAGACTTATAAAAAGCCTACGTAACGATCGCAAACAGTGGTGGGTGGCGAAAGCAAAAGCGATGGAAAAGGCAGCGGCGATAGGCAACAGTAGACAACTTTTCCGCCTTATTAAAGAAACTGGTATTAGGAACCCGAATGTGAGTGAGACTATCTCGGAAAAGGATGGGACTATTATCCATTCTCAATCCAGAAGACTGGATCGATGGGCAGAACACTTTAGGGATCAGTTCAACTGGCCTCGAGCCACTCTTCGGTTACCCACGATCTCCAGTCATCCTGAATGGCAAATCGATTTAAGTCCTCCCAGTTTACATGAAGTTGAAAAAGCGTTAGGAAATCTGAAGCGAGGTCGAGCTGCAGGTCCTGATAGACTGACCCCTGAGATATTTAAGGATGGTGGTCCAGTTTTATCAACTAGGCTGACTGAGATCTTAGGTAGAATCTGGGAACTGGACGTGATCCCATCCGACTGGTCTCAATCACTGATTGTCCCAATCTATAAGAAAGGACAGAAGTCTTCTTGTGACAATCACAGAGGAATAAGTCTAACTAATATAGTATCTAAAATATTGGCCTCAGTAATACTTCGACGCTTGACGAAAGCTCGTGAAGAGCAAACTCGAGAAAACCAGGCTGGTTTTCGACCTGGACGTGGTTGTATAGACCACATCTTCACACTACGACAGGTCCTGGAACACAGACACACATTTAGGCGTCCTACAACAGTTGTCTTCCTGGACCTAAAGGCGGCATTTGACTCAGTGGATCGTGAGGTTCTTTGGCAGTGTCTGTCATTGAAAGGTGTACCAAAGAAGTACATTAACCTTATACAAGCCCTTTACTCGAACACCACTGGTCGAGTGAGGGCTTATGGCGAACTGTCACCGGAATTCTCTACTTCAAGTGGTGTCCGTCAAGGATGTCCACTTTCTCCATTGTTGTTTAATTTTATCATAGACATGCTCCTAGACATAACATTGTCCTCGTCTGAATTTTCAGGAGTAGACCTTCTTCCAGGTGGCTCGCTTATTGACTTAGAATATGCCGATGACATTGTCCTACTTGGTGAAGATGCTGACAAAATGCAGAGTCTTCTGACTACTCTAAGCAACAATGCAAGCATGTTCGGGATGCGGTTTTCCCCCTCGAAATGCAAAATGTTGCTTCAAGACTGGGTTGCATCGACACCTGAACTAGTGATAGGGAGTGAAGTAGTCGAACGTGTAGACCGCTTCACTTATCTTGGGAGTCTCATCAGTGCCGATGGCCTGGTGACTGACGAAATCTCAGCTCGGATACAGAAGGCTCGATTGGCTTTTGCCAACCTGCGTCACTTATGGCGTAGGCGTGATATCCGCCTCCTAATCAAGGAACGAGCGTACTGTTCAGCAGTTCGCTCCGTCCTACTATACGGATACGAAACATGGCCGTTAAGAGTAGAGGACTTTCGTAGGTTACTAGTATTCGATCATAGATGTTTAAGAAGCATTGCTCGTATATCGTGGGACAACCGTATAAGCAATGCTGTCGTTAGGAAACGAGTTCTAGGTAGGGATGGCAAATCAATAGATTAAGCATTGAAGCTTCGTCAGTTGAGGTGGTTGGGACATGTGTTATCTATGCCTAACCACCTACTGTTTTGTGGTGGAGTAGGTTGGAAGAAAGCCAAACCAGAACATGGCACAAACCCATGAAGTCACTGACAAGTGGACTGAGCCATGTTAGTAGATGTAGGCTATCTGGTTGGAGTCCGCGAGACGAAAGTTACCGATGGTTAGAGACCTTGAACGACATGGCTCATAATCGTTTGCAATGGTTCTCTCAAACTCTAACCTTCTGAATTCCTCATCATCTCTATCTTTCTCCTTCTAAATTTATCTCACTGAATTATACTTCTCCAATCATATCTTCGCTCCTTAATCTCCTCCATTACCGCTAATACTTCTATTATCGCTATCACTCCTGGATTTGAACTGGCAGTTGCGTCTCTGTGTTGATGTGGTATGGCAACCTGAACTGATGTACTTACGTACGCAGTTCTGCGTTGTACGTCATCATCTGTCTGTATTTTTACAATAGCCAACGTACAAAGTATTATTTTCAAATTGTTTTTGGAGGAAATACAAATGAACAAGAACACAAAAGATAACTATCTCAAACGAAATCGAGCAAAAAAGCGACCACAGAACAGCTAGAACGATTAGTGATGTAAGATGAAATCAGCTAAGATTACACTGAGCAATGTATCTGTATGACATATTATAATGGCCTAGCATGGGAGGATGTTAAGCAGACTTCCAGTTCCTTTACATATATAGATGCATTCAACCATAACTTTCATAACCTTATGTAGGAGTACTTCTGATCCAGTGTGGTAACTGGTTGATACACACATAAATACCAGGTTCTACGTAGCTTGCGAATGGAGCGAGCGTTTGGCTTATGCAAACCCTGCTAATCTAGCTCTGGACTTTAACAATAGCTTGCAGCATTATTGTGTTGCAACTTAGATCAACACATATCCTAATCAAATGGTACGTTATGACAGACTAACTTGCACTTCGAGAGTTCGCAAAATCACTACAATAAATGCTACGTTTATCTTTACAGCTGATTTTACGTGAGAGCAACGATGTCAATATTGATGCGTTTACATGAATACTCAAGTTAAACAAATCTTCAGTGTGGGTTTGATTCTTCGGGTTCTTAGTCATTTGATGGCTTTTTTGACATAAAATGTTGTACGTTGTCTCTGCTCCAGCCATCGGCAGATTGCTATGATTGTTCAATTTTTTTTCTTTAAAACACCACCAACTAAATTCCAGAACTACCGATAGAGAACAATGTAGTTCGTAAAGAATATGTATATCACACCTAGCGGTAACGGAAACTGGCAAATAAACTTCAGACGCCTGACTTCCTGGTCCGCATCGGCAGTGATCTATTTAAATTACCTGACATACGACTCACAAGCAGTTTATTGTACTAAATCGACGATAGTTTGACGTTGGTGGCCTAACTAGGAATGAGTATGTACAAAGGACAAAGCAACTTTCCCAACTGATCAAGGGATTATTAGCTCTGACTAACTACCTAACAGATTATACGGGTCAAAACCGCTGAAAACTCGTCCAGAAGTCTTTCCAACGAATTTACAAGACTGAGCAAGGGGAGTTTATTAGTCTCTTCGCGCAAACCAGCCATAAACACTGTTGACTATGCACCCTGAACATCGAAGACACTAACAAGAAACTCGAATCCTGAAAAAAGAAGCACCATGGTTGTTGAATATTCAGCTTATCATTTATACGGGACGAAATTTACAACTCGAGTTAGAAATCTTTTAGCGACTACTTTATCTACGATAAGATGATCCAAATATACTAGGAAAACTAATGAGACCACACTGGTACGTCTTTAACACGAATTATATTCCACACTAAATCTTGAGTAACAAAAGCATGCCATATTGTCTTCTATGTTGACAAACCATATTTTGGCTAGATTCAGGACCACATAGCTAAATCATCGAATATTATCGATGACAAATATACGCGTAACGATCTCAGTTACCGAAATTTGAAAAATTATTCCTTTTCATCCAGCAAACTTATCTGGACGTCTTAGGTTAATCAGTAAAACGACTTTTTAGTAGCTAAATAGCCGTCACACCTAAAAATAAACTTCTATATAGTCCAAACAACTTCGATCTAATGAGCACAATATTCAAGATCTCCAATTTTATGAGGCAAACCCAGATTTTATGCAATCAGCCTGTCTAAGCACCAAGTGGCACCAGAGAACTCGATTGCATTAGATTAACTCATGAGAACCAGATTAACTTAATCTTGGGCACTGTATTGATGAACAACAAAAAGCCAGAGGTTAATGTGTAATGAAGAAATTCAAACCAAACTTTACTGCTCCGATTACCTTCAGCGTTCCGGTCGTACTACTTCAGAAAGGGCGCGCTTGGAAGTCAAGCTTCAAATTTTGCTGTACAAAATTAGTAGGCTGGTTGTTCCTCTGGGTCTATGAATTCGTGGTAGGAGAGTGTTCGTGTCAATAGAAAAGAGAAACTATTGTTACCTCCTTCTGAAAGGTAAAACAATCTGACAGAAGACGATTAGTGTCTGATCAGTCTCCAGTAGTAAGGGATGGAAGTCAATGGACTTATATTAATCCCTGTGATTTGTAGTACTGTGAAAATCCAATCTCGCTTTAAGTGTCCTAGCAGAGGGCGTTGACATCATGTGTTTTGGTAGGTAATTTCACCAATTAACTGACCGGAACAACGGAACTACAGACATTAACGACTTGGTTTCGGTTCGCGAACTTTCTTGGCGTCTTCTCAGATAGTTATTCCTAAGTGCGATGAAACAGTACATGAAAACACGAATTATAACAGTAGTGCTTAACTCAATAGACGGAGCACCACACAATTACGAACTGTTGATGGCATATACTTCATGCGTCATGCATTCGTCGTGGAGATAAAAAGAACAGAATTCCGCATACATTTGAGTGTTCCTTGTGTCCCAGTCTCAAGGTAGCTGCTGTTGGTAGGTATTCTGTATAAGGCATTTCTATCGCAGGTACAAAGTATTGTGTCTGCTGAAATCGTTTGTTTTGAATAAATATTTTAAGTGCTATATCACGATAATATACTCGAAGTTGATGGAAGAGATAGTATGAGCTCATCTGGGGCTCTACTGAAATCATGTATAATGAAACTTGTGGTGTTTGATCTCTGTATTCTAAGTGGTAGCCTACTCCAAACGACAAAATACCTGTGTTGGAAGACCTTCTGGTGTACTGCAGGCTTAGAGTGATGTGCTTTGACTTTCTTAGTGTGGCTCAATAAACGTATCTGTGAAGTCTAGTATTTGACTTGAAAAGTGTAAAAATTGGCGTACGATACATCAATAAAATGTAACACTAGGCTTTATTCTGCTCTTACAAAAGACTGCAGGCCCTATTAGGTCATGTCGTGCAAAATAACTCTAGCAGCGTTCCATCACTGAAAAATATTGAATGAAATATCACTGTTATCGTGCGAAAACATCCTCATTAGACGAAAGATCCATCTGTGCCATTCACTCCCAAGACCTGATTAGTCAGAACCCACTAGTAGGTTTACGTCACCGCTTCGTCTACGAGTTTCTAGTTCAGCCACAGCTGCCTTCCTTTTTATTCTATCTCCCGGGGACATATCAGATCTTAATCAGGTATTATCTTGGCACCAAGCACTAGTCAACAGAATATTCCCCTGTATTTTGGCCCTGAGATCCGGTTCAGAAAACTGCGTAGTTGAGGTTCAACATTTTATCCAAAGATGAGCAGTTAAACCAAGAAAATGAAGTTGAAGGTCACTGAAACTTAGAGGTCAGTTAAAACGTAATGAACACATTCACTTGAAATGACAGCAGTAAACTGACTCATCAAAGGGACTAGAATTCCAAGTAGAACGAATAAAAACAGCCTCTTTGGGACAGAAATAAACAGGACACACAAAGGGCCTTACTTATGAGAGTAAGTTTACATTGAACATTATAGAGAAATAGTACTTGGAGAGATTTCCGCGACGAACCACTCATGTGTATGCTGATGATTGGGTACATACTGAAACAAAAATGTTCCTGAAAAACAAGAAATAATATTGGTTATATTCAGTTACAAAACAAAGCAATAGTTCGGTAGTTTTCTTCTTAACCAATCCATTTTCAAGATAATATTTACAATCTCTGATACACACAGCTGAAATACACTAGATACGAGTCAGTCAGAAATGACAGAAGTGACTAGAGATTTGCTGACCAAACATGTACTGTTTATCGAAATGTCTTTTTCCTTCATTTAGTTTCGCATTGCCGCTCATTTCCTATCACTTTGCATACTAACGACAGGGCCATCTGGAAGGGTAAAGGTTTTGTCCAGGTCTTCGGGGACAAATTATAGCACTTAGGTACCAACATCACAATGATACTTGGCTCGCTGTCTTTTTCGGGCAAATGTTCTTTGTGGTGGTGTTTCGTTCTCTGAGCACAATCATCCACCTGATCTATAAATTTTCTCCACCATCTCAAAATGTTCTTTTACACATTTTGGATCGAGAACATGTAGCAACTGTCATTGAAACATCATTTGGTATTTGGTGTGCTGACGGGTGATGAACATTGTGGAATTATAAATGATGTCCTCTTTAAAGCAAACTTTATATGATATATCGATGGATATATACTCATTAAGCCATCTAACTTTAATGAAATTGGATTCATACTCGTGATAGCAATGTCTCATCGGATGCTTGTTTGAAATAAGCTATCTTAGTCGTGGTCTCACTCTTGGCATCATTTAAAACCGTTTCGGATCTCGATCATAGAGAACGATAAATTCAAGCACATTCAACTCATCAGATGTCTTTTCGAGCCAAGATTGGGGTTAGGCAGTGTCAGATAAAACTGCAGTCAACTATATGTACTACTTATTTTTTGATCATGAAGATAAGCCGCAGACTCTAAAATCTGCCTTTACCCAGCAGAACCAAGCTTAAATCTCTAATATATAAACGGAAATATGATATCCTGAGAATACGATGATAAAATAAGGAGCGGACTAGCAAAGTGATTGTTAACTTATCGGGCTACGGTCTCACCTTCAGACATGCAAGCCACGATGAAATGGAAAGATATCACCGATGGGACGATTCAAGTAAGTTGTCAATTGAGCAAACAAATAGAAAATTATTAGTATTTGCGTCAAACAGTGTACTTGAAAGTAAGCAGAGATAAAGATGCAGTTGCTGAGACAACTACCTGTAATGACAGCCTATGAGATTTTAGTGGCTCAAGACTGGACTCCAGTGTGGACGAATGATCGAGTATGTTATGAAATAAATCTTCCTTCCGTATATTATGCCTAAGTTAACCCTGTTTGTGCAGTGGCGGTAGTAAGAAGCCAAATACGGTGTTGCGGACGAATTTATTTCATGCAATTATTTATGCAGACACACATGAAAAGGAAAGCGTGAAAGCGAAACGAAGCGAATTGGAGAAGGCGAGTAAGCCAACTATCATGCACTGAAGTGATGACTGAGTATTTATAGTCAAGCAATAAATAACAAGCTGGACTTGTATTAGGCGAGTAAGCATACAAACGCTCAATCAAACGCAAAATAGTCGCTACTATTATCGAATTATTACAAATACAAAAATATAGCCGTTACTATTATCCAATAATCTAAACGACTTATCAGTGAAGTATAAAGAATGAATGGCGCGATGATACAAGATATATAAGTTGAGCTCTATAAATGAATTTTCTACCCCAGCAGTTCACTCCGTTTTCAATAGGTGCAGGTTGGTACTCGACGTCGCAGATCCAATACCAAAACACAATAATTCTGGGAGAAAACGGTCTTTATTTAATATAAAATGGAAATACAGACAATTACCCAACAATATTACACCTTCTAAATCCAATTTACCGCTGTGGGTATCCGTTTCTGGAAGAATAAGTGCTTCCAGTCCGTACAGTCGATGTATCAAATCCAAATATGGCTGTAGCCATATTAAATATCAAATTTAAACAACATATGTACAGTCCAGAAGCAAACATAAAAACCTCAATATAAGTACAAGATATAGAAATAATAACAATATACAATGATAAAATCTCAAAATTGAATCAAATAGAGTGCCAAAATGTCAACAGAAAGAGTCAGTCATATCATAACACAAATATATATATATGGAGGGATTTTCCAAAAAACAAAACATTCAAAAAAGATTCTACAAGCTCATCAGGCTGGCATTGTCTATCGGAAGTAAAACGATGAATAATAATGTTATGTGAAGACTAATCTATTGGTATGGTGAGTAAGTAACCCCTATGCCACTTTCACTACACTATTTGTTTTATAAAAAATTTTATGATCAGATATTTCTAGAAATAAATCCTTAAGAAAGGAACAATATAAAATGGTTTTACCTATTATTTACTCAGTTCTTTTTGCATAAAAACCTTGTGATAAATTTTTTATGTTCTTCTGAGTACTTAAATTAGTTCAAAATCATGGTTTATGAACATTTTACGGATTATACTCACCCTCTTCACTGCATAAACATTTAAAACATCATCAAAAGGGTCAACCCTGTTTATTCAAAATGGGTTGCTATTTTTCCTTTAATGAGTAAATCTACGAGATTTAATAGTGTATTAACGAGTAAAAGTTTCTTTTATATATATATATATATAATTTGAATTTAGGGATACAGAGACATAAAAATTAGAGCCTATTGTGTTTACTGTTCAATGTTTATTTTCTGAAACACAAATTTTTTACAATTCAAACTTACCTGATTCTATAATTTATTTTACAGTGCTTAAGAAAATTTTTAAATTTTTGTGTAACTGTTTGACGGTTTAAATGAAGCGGATATAATACGGTGTGATAGACCCATCTACTTCTTTCTGGTCGAGGATCGAGTACAGTATGATAACTGCAACGAGTAGTCTCATAACATATTTGCCAAACCCACAGTGACTGTATAAAGAGGTTCTGCAAGCCGGTCTATCGTTGGCCGTACGAAGTATGCTGCTCTGCACAGTCTCTGCTAACTCTTCAGGCTATTAAACTGCTAAACGCACATAGAAAGCTGCCTTTAAACAGTCACACTGTAGCAGACTTTGAGGATGCAAGGAGCATCATCATGAGTCCAGCGACAATTCTGAAAGAAACCATTACGTTTGGTCCTCATAACACAGTAGATGAAAAATAGGTCCTGAAAAGATGTCAGGGAAGGAGAAACACCACATTAAGAAGCAAAAAATGAAAGAGTATTCCTTAATGTATTAGCAGACAGATTCAAATACACAAACCCACAGCAATACACTACAGACCACTCACGAGCAAAGCCTGTACACTGTAGAAGGTTCAGCTAAGAAGGAAAATCAAGTTGATGATTAGCTAACAACAGTACCTAGAAAGTTCATCAACAAATATTGGATTATGAGGGCATGAAGAAAGCCGAATCTCAAAAGTTACTTTTGCTTATGCCGTGGAAACAAATGTAATACCGGAAAATTCACTGAAAATGACTGAATAAGGTGTATATGTTTGGGCTGATTGCATCTTGCTTGATCGTATGAACAATAGAAAAGCAGAAGCAGAGACAAATAAGTGCCGTTGAAATGGTGGAAAAACCTTTTACTTACGGATTTTCGTTCTATGAAGTTTCGGAGGTAAACGATTCCAAAGCTACTCTGGACAGTACGTGGAAGCGTTGCACAATACACAAATACTTGCATCCTTATAAAGGAAACGGCTGGGCTCAGAAACATGATGGTCACAGAAAACCTTGATATTATTGCTGTTTCAAAAATACGGCTGACTCTAGAAGTATATGACGATGGAACTCAAATGCTTGGTATCTTGCGTTGCAGCACCGACCGACCAAACCGTGGGGGTGGTAGAGTGGTCATCCGAGCATTAAAAGCACTTCAACGAAGGAAGCTATGGAGACAGTGGTAGAGAACTCAGGCGCTTATGAATCGAAGAGCTGTCGGCGGAAAATCAAAGAGCAAGACACTGATTTACAGCATATCGCTGAAGTAAATTAGTTTTTGTTAAGTAAACCGAAATTTTCATGGAACAGATGTTGAGGTCTAATAATATGTGACTTTAATACAATCTCTATAAACTGAAAAAACCAAGAAGTGAGGTCATCAAACAAATCCTTCAATAACAAACCGTTATCAACCACAATTTACAAAAATGTTTGAGTGTCACCATAAACATCGGTACAAGAAAAGCGATAGAAAGTTTCAGGTTGGTCTGAAATAAGTCCTTAGGAAGCATTCGGACAGCTAAACAAAAATATGAAAATCTGTTGGCACAACCTGTAATCAAGTGATCAGTGAAGTTGTTATCCTACATCCATTAGATTCCAAACCTAATTACAGAAAGAAGTACATCTGAAATGACGGAGGAAGATCAGGACAAACAAATGGCTTTGGCGGATTATTTTGGAAGAGATTGCACCCGAGGTCATTGTTAAGTAAAGGAAAAGATCTAACTGCAATACTACTAAGTCTGCTAATCACTTTAAACTCTGATCAAGACGATATGCCAAAGGATCTAATCACTTTAAATATGAATAAATCAACAGGACTGTATGAACTATACGTATAAGTTTTGAGGCGAATCACACAACATCTCACCGACTCGCAGACTACAGCATTCTATATATCACTTGATCAAGGGGAGTTATCTCCTTTATCTTTCTACCTATTTGATCAAGTCAAGTCAAAGGACATTTCAGGGAAGTATAAAGGCCAGATAGAAACAAAATAGCTATGAAACATAATTTTTAATAGAGCCACAAAATCCTGAAAACTGTTACCCTAAGAGGTGGTGTAAGCACTTTTCATTAGCTCGCACAAGAGAAGACTACGCACTCAGAAGCTTACTAGAAAATGACTATCACATGCTTCAGGCCTTCTGTTCTCATAACACAAGTCTAACATTTTCGAGGTGTCTGACACAATCCAATAACTTTAATCGTACCAAAAGAACAAGAATCCAGCCAAAATAGATCAATCGGTTCATGCTAGTTCGTGAAAACGGTATTGGACATTGGATTGGAGGCGCTCTACTCCAAGCGACTCGATTATTCATCATTTTTCCGCTGGCACGATGGGGACAGATTCATCGATGAAAGCTGTTGAGGGAGAGGCTGCTCCAAAAAAGGACGAAACTCCTAAGGATGATTTGGTAGTATTTCTGTAATTATAAACATCCTTTTTAGTCGGAGGAAGACAAACAGCTTCAAGATGAGCTGAATATGCTTGTTGACAGACTTGAAGAGCCAAACCAAGAACTGCATAAACCAGCCCTAGAGTCCATGTGTACATTGATAAAGTCCTCTACAACGTCCATGACATCTGTTCCAAAGCCTCTGAAATTCTTGATGCATCATTATGCCAAAATTAAGTCATTCTACAACACTATATGTAATCCAGATACTAAAGTGAGTTGTTTATTTTGTTATTTATATTTAGAAACTCTGCGCCGACGTCGTATCTGTCTTAGGCATGACTGTAACTGACCAACCAGAAACGCGTTATGACACATTAACTTACAGACTCCTTGGTTGCCAGGGTGATATTGGAGCTTGGGGTCACGAATATGTTCGTCACCTGACAAACCAAATAGTTGGTACTTGGCAAGAAAAAGATTATGATTCACTAGTAGAAAATCCAGATGGTACGCGCTATAGATCCGACCAATTCCTTTTTAGCTACAAAAGAAGTAAAAAAACATCGAGAAGACTGCCTCGCTCTCGTTCACCAAATAATTCCCTACTTGATGGAGCACAATGCTGAGGCTGAGGCAATTGACTTATGTATCGAGATAGAGCAGCATCAATTGCTGGAAATATACACATCAAGTTTGAACTACACTCGAGTGTGTCTGTATCTGACAAGTTGTGTTGCTTATCTGCCTACACCAGATAACAATAAGGTAAGCTAACAAGTTTTAAACAAATATCGAAAGTTATTGTTGCTACATATTCCAAATCCTTCATACTTTATTAATGCCATGTGGCTGTTGACTGCAAGTTTTTCTGAATATAGTTTCCGACTTGTCAGTTAGTTTACTAATACTTATGGCAGGAAGTGCTCACGTTCACACATATTACCAACCAGTTTTATTTTTTGCGTAGACAATTTACGGTTCTCTCCAACATTTTTGTAGATATATTTCAGTGTATGTAAGTATTATGTTGCTAAAATTCGCTATGCTTAGTTGTATTGTGGACAACCAGCTTCAATTTCTTTCTAGTTCCTCGTGGTACGTGCAGCCATTCGGTCCTCTCTGTATAATTTTTAAGCCAGCTTAAGTGTAGATTTAATCTCTGTCAAGTTCCGCAATCACTTCGGGAACCTTTATTTGTGGACAGTTGAATATATTTTTCAAATAATCAAACCCGAATGGGTATTTAGCTGGGACTTTGAGACACTGAAGATGAATATCATGTTTTTTTCTACTGGAAGAAAATACACTTCTACATACTCTATCTTTTGGGTCGAAGTATTGCAGCTTTATTGTTCTTCTCAATACTTGATGAAAGTTCTATTTCTGGGAATACTTTCCAGATATTCTGCACATCTAAGTTAGCCATTAATAGGGAGTATATTTGCCTTCATCCAGTCACTAAATGTCTATCATTGTAATAATTTAACTAGGTTTCAGTACCTTTTTTACTTACATGGTTACTTTGTTTGTAAATTGTTCATTTTATGCCTTGCTAAGCACCTTACACAGGTTTTGTAAAATTATTGTTATCAAATCGGTTCTAAATTCCGTCTCCGCGTGCTTTCCTATCTCAGGTGCTTCAGTACGCAACTATTTTGTATCGTAAATTTGAGGATTTGGGCAATGCTATGCGCTGTGCTTTACGTTTAAATGATATGAATTTGATCCGCGAAATATTTTTAGAGTCTGGGAAAGTTAAAAAAGGTTCTCGGAATTATGGCCCAGCTATCCAGCGCCAACTTGCCTATCTCCTTGGTCGACAGAACATTGTACTTCCAGATGAGGAGTGTCTAGTAGATGAGGACTTAACAGAAATGCTTTGGAATACTAGGTTATCAGAACACTTTTTGTCTCTTGGCCATGAATTAGATATTATGGATCCAAAGGTAAATACCATCCATATATGTGTAATAATATTTGTACCACTAATAACATGTTACTGGTTTTAGCGTTTTAGCTGCTTTTTGACATTTAACATATTCTGATTTTAATGGTATTATTACCATCTTAAAAACGTTTCATTTCGGCATTAAGAATTGTTCATGAAATAACACAACCGTTTATGCCTTCATATTTGTTTTATTACGTTTAGACCATCCCAAGGCATTCATTTTCAAGTCACTACCTTCTATAATTGTTGATAGTCCAATCGGAATACGAAGTTGGTCTAAGAAGTACGGTATTTTTTTGCAATACATTTTAGAAGCCTAACCACTTGCATTGTGTAAATACTTTTACATAAATGCAAAGTAATATCCACTGAAAGTGTGTGGAATCTCTGACCTATGGCTAACAGAATTTTGAGCAATATGTAATTAATTGGATACTAATTGCTTAGGCATACTGGAGTAGTTTTATGACATTCTTGCTCGTAGCAGAACGAAATAACTGCATTCGTCTTTTGATTAAATGCTAATGTTATTGGTGTTAAACTGCAAGTTGATCGGATTAAAACTGATTTCTCACTACCACTAAGCAACAATCAGTCATTTTTGATATTGGCGTAGATGACTAAGGGCAGGTTCAGTCAGATGCAACGTAGAACATCGTACGTAAGTACATCAGTTTATGTTGCCATACCACATCAGCACAGAGATGTAATTGTCAATTCAAACCCAATAGTAGAAGAGGTAGTAAAGGTATTAGAAGTAGTCGGAACGGTTAAGTTTAGAAGATATTATTCAAGAAGTATGATTCAGTGAGAAAAGTTTAGAAAGTCAAAACTAGAGGTGTTGAAGAATCCAGAAGATTAGGATTTAAGAGAACACAAAGAATAAATGCACCGGCGCCATTGCGAACGATTTTGAGCCATGTCATTCAAGGTCTCTAACCATCGATTGTAAACAATCCAATGTTGAAACTACTGAATATCAAATGACTAATAAAGCTTGTTTTGGTTGGTAAATATTTGTCAAAATTTGATCATCAATTAGTCTTCCTATGCTGCTGGAATGACAGCTTGTTTCTGGTATAAGTGTAATCCAGAGTCAGCCCTATGGAAATTAATAGCTGGATAATTTAGAGAAAATGAGTTGATAAACTTGATCGTTGTCTTCGTAAGTTGATCAGTCAGTGTCGTCTAAAGATTCATTTCTTGTTTCAAGTAGATACTCAAAAGCATCTGAAATTGAATGATAATTTGAGAAAGTAAAGTCTCGGTTAGATAGTTGTTTTTAATAAGTACCGTATATTTCAGCCGACTTTATCACGCTTTCCGTCGATTTTAGCTAATTAGTGTATAATCTTTAAAACCAGTGATTTTCACGAATCTGTAAATGGGCGATCATGAAATCTATCATTTCTCCGTTTTTTTAACGCGAAATATATTAACATATTTGAGAGTGTATATCAATTAAAAGTTGTTCATAAATTGACCAAGCAGCCGTTTGTTTGAAACCGTGAGCAGTCAGTAACTGACTATCTGATTCTACTTCTCTGAAAAACCATTGTGATATTTGAGGCCATTATAGAAATATTGTCGTTGTTGACTATAATTGATATGGACGAACTATGATAAAATAAAGTTATTTAATTAACTTCGTTTATATTCATCGACTTACTCGCGTTAGTTAATAGAATAACGTAATTTGAATACAGTGATGTTTTCAAATGCAGATGTTCCGTGAATTTAATTCAGGCAGATAATAAGAGGTGCGAATCACACGTACCCACCCCAAATATTTCTCGTTATAGGCGTTAATATGATCCGAAATAAACAATGAATACTGAGTAAGAGGACACAATGGATAAAGCATCAAGTCTGCAGACACGCAAACACACACAAAAGGAACAAATATAGAGCTGACAAGGTCATGAATCAAAAAGATGCATGTTTGAATGTCAAATTTACTAGTGAATATAATGGAATTTTTAGAAACTTAAAATAACTCAATAGTTACAAGCTGTCTGTTCGAAAACAAGAATTGGCTCACATGTGTTATAATAGACAAACCGCAGCTTTCGTCATGACGTAAGAATAAAAGGTGGTCTGAAAGCAACTGTCATTACCGTAGCAATCGCTGTTGTAATCATTTTCAAAAACCAAAATGCAAAATGAACACAATTAAAGAATAAATTTGACTTAAAACTTTTGTTTTTAAATATGTTAAACATTTTTGATGCTATAGTGGCAACAACGTTGTATGTTATAATGTTTAGAAAACTACTGTAGAACTTAGAAGTGTAGTTGCTACTCTTGATTATGTAATCACTTCTAATAACTTCCAACTTATATACCTGTTCACTGATTTTCTTGCATTGGTATTAGTCGCCAGAGGATATCTATAAATCTCATTTGGAGGCAGTTAGACCAACATTAAATGCAGCTACTTTAGATTCAGCACGAGCTAATTTAGCCGCATCCTATGTGAATGGACTTGTTAACTGTGGTTTCGGTAAGGAGAAGCTCCTACAAGAAACACCTAAAGAAGTCCCATGGTTATGCAAGCAGAAAGAATTTGGTATGTTTTGATCTGATAGTTATTAGTTCCAGACATTTTTACGATGCTTAGTATCCTTTGTTGGCTTTGTTATCTGTCAAACGAGTTTCCATATTTTTTGAAGCTCCTCATACGCTTTTGATCCATGTAGAATTAAGCACCTTTTGATTAGTGTATATGTTCTCTCGTTGTACATTAATCATGTTTATCTAATTTTTATGTAGCCTATCAGATTAAATGATACAAAAGCACGTACCTATGTTGTTTGTTTGCATTTCATCAGTCATTATCATGTTGATGACCATAAGTTGTGGCAACTACTTTTTTGTTCAAACTCTATCCCTAAAATATTAAGCACTGATATTGGATTTTCTAAGCTTACCTTGTAAACTATTTCATTTGTTTTGTTTAATCTGTTTTAGGTAAAATGAGTACTGTGGCTACGCTCGGTTGGGTACTTTTATGGGATGTTGACACTGGGTTGTCTCAACTTGATAAATATCTTTATTCTGTGGAGGATCATACTCGTGCTGGTGGTCTTTTGGGTTGTGGAGTTGTCAATTGTGGTGTTAAAAATGAATGTGATCCTGCACTAGCTCTCCTTGGATCTTATGTGGATTCTGATAAGGATGTCCTTTCTCGTGCGGCAATTATTGGTCTTGGTGTAGCTTACGCCGGTTCAATGAAAGCAGAAGCTATCAGCACTCTCACACCTGTTATCCTGGATATTAATACAGCAAAGTTTCAACATGCTTGTTTAGCAGCACTTTCTGCAGGGCTTATTGCAGTCGGTTCACTTGATGGAACTGTCACTTCCACTATCATTCAAAGTTTATTGGAAAGACCTGCAAGTCATTGGAGCAATGTTTTCAGCAAATTTATGGCACTTGGTTTAGGTCTAACGTGTTTAGGCCGACAGGAAGAAGTTGAAGTTATTCTTGCTTCCTTAGAAGCTGTATCTGAACCTATGAAATCAATGGCTCACATGATCTGTGACTTTTGTGCTTATGCTGGTAAGTTGGTTTACTTGTTTTTTAAAACTTATTTCAGTCATTTCTCAACCACTTATTTATTTTTCATCTGCATTCGTAATCGGAATCACACGAAGATAACAGTTATCTGACAATGTAAATAAGATTTATAACATCTTTTTTAATATCAGTATTCAAATAAAATTTCTATTACTTATGTATATCAGTCATACAGTCATTCAAAAAAGCCAAAATAAACATTAAAAGCTTTTTCATCTTATTTTCGGATAACATGATTCGTTCCCAATCGATTATATAGATACTATACATTACTTAATGTATTTCTTTAGTATTTTGTCAACAGTCTTATATATTAAGCCAGCACATTTTACGTATGTCTAGATAAAGTCAGTCATTGTGTTCATGTAAAACCGCACAATTCCCTTTATTTAAGAAAATTTATGCAGATTGTTGTTTCGTGGAGTGCCAGCAACATAATCTTGTTAATTAACTGAATATGATTTTTAGTATATAACTTTCTCAGATTGGTTAACTGTACTATTTACTAACATGGTTTTTATTCTCTTATCTATTGTACAGGCAGCGGGAATGTACTAAAAATTCAAAATTTACTGCATATCCTCTCTGAAAAGTATGAAGAAAAAGAAAATACTGAGAAGACCACTTCTAATACAAAAACAAAAGAGAAAAAAGATAAGTCAAACGAACTTCGTCGTGGAGGAGGTCGTGGAAGAAATCGTCGGGGTGGATCAAGTAGATCAGCTGCTACATCCACTGCCGCTAGTGATCCTGGTAACGGACATAACATAGATGCTCCCACGGCTATGGACACAACTGGTCAAGGAAACGAAGACACCATCACCTCAGATGAGACAGGTGTTTCTCAACCTATACCTATGGATACGTCCAATGCAGAAGAGTCTACACCACAGGAAGACAGTACATTTGATTTTCATGCTCATCAAGGTCTGGCTGTTTTGGGAGTTGCTATAATTGCTATGGGTGAAGAAATTGGTTTAGATATGGCCTTCCGAATGTTCGGTCATCTTGTAAGTTTTTTGTGTTGTATCCAAGTTTATTCTGTGCAAATATTTTTTCCTGTTTTATCTGTCCTAATTTTATGCAGTTCATGTTTGAACCCTTTTCGATATACGATAGGTTAGTTCAGTTACTTTAATCAATTAACAACTGAAACTGAAAATCAATTACTAGTCTAGTAAGTAGTGTGAAAATTTCTTACACAAAAGACTACTTGGATCCTCCTGTTTGCTGTTTAAGAAAATTTAATTCACACTCTAGCATTAGTATAACTATATTAGAGAATATGTACTTCAAATATTAAAGTCGTAATTTATGAGTACAATAAATAACAATTTTTTATTAAGTTGCAAACAATAAACGGAACTCGGATAGAATGTAAGTAATGTGCGTTTAGGAGAGTTTAATAAGTCAAATTTAATTTTACAGTATAACCACCATTTCAGTATAAACTAAGTTATTCTTGCGGTTGTATTGTTGAATGACTTTGTGAATAGGCGTTAGATGTTCTTCAGGTTCAGTTCTGTTTTATATTACTGTAACTCTAATGTATCTGATGATTTATATATACATCAAATCAAAAGCGTAATACATCCAGTTTAAAGATATTATTTATAATATTATATGGAGTTAATTAATGCTTTAAAAAGGTTCTCTATCACGAGAAAAGTGTCTATTTGAGATAGTATGTTTGTTGTGATGTTTTGTTCTCTGAGCTGAGAGAACAAAACACTACGACAATCATCGACCTGACCTACAGATTTTCTCCACCATCTCAAAGTGTGTATGTTTAGTGGAGTTGGTTTTAGCTATAAATATTGTAGACGTAACAGCATGTTTTATTTTACTAATTGATTTTCAGCTAAGATTCGGGGAACCTCCGATTAAGAGGGCTGTCCCACTAGCTCTCGCTTTGTGCTACGTATCAAATCCTCAGCTAAAAGTATTGGATACTTTAAGCAAATTTAGTCATGATTCAGATGCAGAATTGTCACACAATTCTATTATCGCAATGGGTATTGTGGGTGCAGGTACGTTCATTATGTATTTTCAGCTTAGAAGTTCAGTGATGTATTATTTGTAGTGTCATATGCTTTAAGGATTCTGAATGAAAGCGTTTAGTTCCGTTTTTATACTGCTTATTTATCTATCCACCTGTTTATTTTTTTGATGCTTCTCCAAATATCTCTCACTTCATTTGTCATCACTCACATTGTCAAAGAATTCGCACTCAAATTTTCGGCCTCCAAATGTTTTCAAAATGTTATCTACTCTGACTGATAAAACCTGGAAATCGCTTAACCTCCGAGTGGTCGTATTTTCTCTCAATAAGCTAACAGTAACTTTCTGAGTCACATTTTGATGGCCTATCTCTCTAAAGTTATAAAAGCAAATAAGGCCTGTAAGTTTAACGGTTCTCTACTAACCAAGTCGTTAATTTGTTACAAATGTGTATCATTAAGACGAATAATAGTCCTTTTTTCTTTTATTGGCGCTGAAATCTGACTTCACGAATGACCTTTAGGGTATTTTTGTCTGCTGCAACCTTAGTTGCCTGTGGACATATGCAATATTAGTTACATTTTGTTAACTTTCCGAACTTTTTTCAGCTGCTTAAAACCTTTGCTGTTACCATTTCCTCTTTTCAGGAACAAATAATGCACGGTTAGCTGCTATGTTACGTCAACTTGCTGTTTATCATAGTCGCGATCCATACAACTTATTCTTAGTTCGGCTCGCTCAAGGCTTAACACATCTTGGAAAAGGAACGCTCACGCTAAGTCCTTGGCATTCTGATCGGTTCCTGTGCCGTCCTGTTGGACTAGCTGGACTTCTCATACTATTAACATCTTGTCTGGATATGAGGATGACATTTATGAGTAGACACGATTATTTGATTTTTTATGTTACACCTGCAATTCAACCTCGTCTACTGATGACTTTTGATGAAGATTTAAAGCCTTCACTTGTGACTGTTCGTGTAGGTCAGGCTGTCGATGTTGTTGGGCAGGCAGGCAGGCCAAAAACCATCACAGGATTTCAAACACATACCACTCCAGTTTTATTATCTCATGGTGAACGCGCTGAACTTGCAACGGATGAATATTTACCCATAACACAGCTTCCTTTAGAAGGTTTCATACTTCTTCGAAAGAATCCTGAACATGAGGAAACAAATAAGTGATTGTTCCTTTGTTTCTCTAACTGTCATCATGATGTAATGATACAGCATTCTGTTTTTATCTCACATTTTTTCAAAATAAAATGCAGGTTTATTTTGTTCGTTTCATTCTACAGAAAATGATACACTAATATATTCTGTTATATGTGGTAGTAATACAATGCGGAAGGTATTAGTAGTTTGCCAGGCTTTCAGTTCTCACTTGAGCACTGCTCTAGCATCTATTTCGAGGATCCGAATTCCGTTATACGTTTTTTGACCATTTCTTTACTGCACTGTATTCATATTTACTTTTTAATGTTACTGAGTGCAATTTCTACGTATTTTTGTACTGTTTTTGTTTAGATTTCTGAAGTCTTAAATCATTTCATTGACGGTGGTTTGTCTGTCAAGTGTTGATCAGATCTTCTGGTTGGGTTTTCTTCCCAAGCAAATGAGTATACTTTTATATAAATGCATAGAGTATTCTTTGTAATAATTTTGTCACGAGATTTCTCTATAATGAAATGATTAAGATGATAAATTACCATTCAGTGTTAAGTGGAACATTTTAATAATGAATCAACATCATCTCGAGGTGTTGTAAGGTTTATCTGGATGCATGTATGAAACTATGTCGTAGAGGTATGGATTCATCAATTATCTGTTGAAAATGCTTGCTACAAAAAAAATTAGGAGGGCTCGCTTTGGTTTCTTTCTACAACTAAATCTAGCAGAATGCTTGGATCTGTAAGAGCTGTTTATAAAAGCTGTTTATTTCTGTTGATGAAACATTTGTGTATGAATAAATCTATCATTTTAGGTGGCTGGCTATCCTAACTCAGTTTATTCATGGTTAGCGAATTTAATTAGATATATTGTATTATTAATTTAAATTCTGAAGAAATCATCAATAGTTAACTGCTACTGTGCTTAGACCATAAGTCTAACGACCAGACATTCGCACCTTGTCAAGTGTTAAAACAGACACGGTCAGACAACCGACAACAGTTGTATTTCTCGACCTTAGGACTGTGTAGTTTGTGAGTTTCTGTGACTGTTTGTCATTGAAGGGCGTACCAAAGAAGTTCATTAACTTTATACAGGCTCTCTACTCGATCGCTTCAGGTTGAGTGAGAGCTCATGGCAAACTGTCATCAGAATTGATTATTTCAATTGGTGTTCATTAGGGCTGTCTACTTTCTCCATCCTTCAAATATAGTTAACATGCTTTTAGATTCGATAATTTCATCGTCTGACTTTTCAGGAGTTGACCTTCTACCAGCAGACTAGCTCGTTAACTTGGAATATGTCTGACTACCTTAAGCAACAGTGCAATGTTCGGGATGCGATTATTCCCCTCGAAATGTAAAATGTAGCTTTAGGATAAGCGTGCATCGAGACCTGAACTAGTGATAGGGAGTGAAGCAGTTAAGTGTGTCGACCGCCTGACTTAAGTTGAGAGTTTCGTCAATGCTGATAGCCTGTGTGTGATGGAATCTCGTCCCAGATACAATAGGCTTGATTAGCTTTTGCAGAAGTGCTTCATTTATGGCATAGGCGAGACATCTATCTACTGATCAAATGAGGAGTCTACTGCGCGATAGTTCGCTCTGTCCTGCTATACGGGTGTGAAACAGCCAGTAAGAGTAGAGGATATTTGTACGTTACTAGTATTCTATCATCGGTATATTCAAAGCATTGCTAGTATATTCTGGGACAGCCGACTGAGCATTGCTGGAGTTAGGAAAAGAGTACTAGGTAAGAATGGTGGAGTGGTGAATCCTCATCAGTTGAGAAGGTTGGGACATATTTTACGAATGCCAAACCACTGACTACCTCGACAAACAATGTTTTATGGTGTAAGAGTAGGCTGGAAGAAAGCTAGGGGTGGCCATGAAGGCATTGACAACTGGACTGAGCCAAGGTATTAGGTGTACACCTGGTCGGGATCCGTGAAACAATACTAACCGGTAGTTACAAACTTGAATGACATGGCTCGAAATCCTTTACAGTGACGCAGATGCATTTACTCTTTGTGTTCTCACAAATCCTAGTCTTCTGTATTTCTCATCGCCTTTTTTCTCTTTATTTAAAATTTATATATACTTGAGATCGCAAATTCGATCCCTAATCTTTTCGATTATCGCTAATATTTCTACTACATCTACCACACTTAGATTTGGATCGACAATTGATTCTCTGTGCCAATGTTATATGGCAAATGAAATTGGTGTACGTACGTAGGAATTTTTATGTTGTGGCTGACTGAAGGTTTAACCATAAGTCTAACAGGACTGAGTGTAGTTTTTGAATTCAGTGCACTACTCACGCCTCCTGCCCCTCGTGGAGCGTCGAATACCGACAGCGATTCTCCACTCAACTCCGTCCTGGGCTCCCCTTCCCAGTTATCGGTCTAGTTACAACGTAGAACTTCATATGTGCGTACGTACATCAGTTCAAGTTGCCATACCGCATTAGCACACAGACGAAATCGTCAATTCAAATTCTGTGGTAGCAGAGGTAATAGAAGTATTAGCAGTCATTGGAGAGATTGGGGTTCTGCGGTATTTTTCAAGAAGTAGAATCTAGTGAAATAAACTTAAAAATTAAAAGATAAAGGTGGTGAAGAATCTTTTTCCAGTTCCCAAGTGCTATTCTTACTTTACATGTCCACCTCCGATTCTCGGCTCTGTTCTTTCGACCGCCCCTCCTTTTCACTTGAAGATTACCAGTTACGGGCTTGACTCGTTACAATCCGGTGATTTCAACAACGAATGTTCTATCCACTCTTAACTGCTTCTCCTAACTTCCTGTTCAGTTAGAAGCTGATTTGTTCTCTCCCACAGTAGATTGTTGTTGATGGTGTATGACCAACAGATCCGGCCTACCTTGAGTAGACATCCGTTTATAAACATCTGTCTCTTTTGAATGGTGGCTTTGCTAATTCTCCATGTTTCAACTCCGTGCAGCTGAACTCTCCTCACGTTTGTATTGTAAATTATGAGGTGTTGTCTGATAGTTGCTTTTAGTTCTAGATTTCCCTCATTTGTGTGAATGCTGAACTTGCTGTGCGAATCCTTTTCCTCATATGTGGATCATATCCCACATGTTTGTCAATGATACTGACCAAGTACGTGTTAGAATATTCATCCAATATCCTAAGAGAATTATTGGTCAATTCCCATTGGTCAATTTTATGGCCGTCCTGTATATCAATGCCACGTACTCCAATGTTGTTCCTTATTGGTCATCCTGACTGTCAATGTCACTTCAAATGTTGTTTCCTATAGGTCGCCTTAACTGTCAATGTCACAGACTTCGATGCTGTTTCCTGTTCGACCTAACTATATTGTAGAATCCTTTTTGAATGTTTTGTGTTTTGGAAAATCCCTCCATGTTTACATATTTTTGTTATGACATGACGGACTTTTTCTGTTGACATTTTTGGTATTTTATTTGATTCCAATTTGAGATTTTATCATTGTATATTGTTATTCTTTCTATATTTTGTACTTATATTGAAGTTTTTATGTTTGCTTCTGAACTGTACATATGTTGTTTAAATTTGATACAATATGGCTACCGCCACGTTTTTGGATTCGATATCGTGCAGTATAGGAGTTCACCTAGACCTCGGAACATTGATACTCGTTCAGAGTAATTTTGAATTGGAAGGCGTAAATTTCGTTAGGTATTGCTTGTATTTCCATTTATTATTTATTAATAGACCATTTTCCCCTAGAATTATTGTGTTTTTATATGAAAATCGGGAAGTGCGTCCGACATACGTCTATTGGAATCGAATTGAACTGACACGATAGAAAATCCAATTACATATATAAATACTCATCATCTGTTACATTTTATGACCCAGATCCGGACCCTTGGTCCGGGAACAGTCTCTTCTTATGGACTCGGACCCCGTATTTTCTGGATGTTTGTAGAATACAGGTTCTACTTTATATCAAGTCTTTTTCTTTTACTCAACAGGGTGTTGGGACACTCGGATTAGAGTAGCATGTCGTGTCACTGGGTTCTCGCCCTCGTTTTTCGACAGGTAAACTCGTAATACTTCAAGCATGTCAAAATGGTATGTTTACGTTCATGCGTAACAGTATCCAAACGTTTTCGTCTGATCCAGAGCTTCTTCATCAGATGTTGTTCGGCTGTTGCTAGCTGTGTTGTTTTTACGGATTTTGCTTTTTCCCTGGCTGCTGCCATACTAGCTGTCTTCATCTACGTTTGCTACTCTGTGTAGGATAAGTGGGACAGGTAATGTGGAACTGCGAATCGTCTAGCCGCATCCGAGTTGCCATTGCGTTTCGTGTTAGCCCTGAGATGTTGAGGTCTACATAACCCAGTCAATAACTAAGAGAAAGAGGAAGGGTGAGGGTGAGCAGCCTTGTCTGATACCGGTCTTCATTTGAAATGAATCTGTTATCTGACCTCTGTGTATGATTTTGTAGTTTAGTCCACCATGAGAATACCGTTTGATGTTTACTATCTTGTCAGATACTCCACAGTGTTGAAGAAACTTCCACAATGTCATCCTGTCCGAGCTCTCTGATGCTTTAATGTAGTCAAGTAAGCTGATAGGTAGTGATCATTTCCATTCAATCAACTGTTCAAAAATGATTATCAAACTCTACACAATCTAAACTGCCACTGAGGGTTGTGTCATGATGGGAGCCTATGCTGCTTATAACAGGGCTAAGGAAATTTCAAAACATTTGTTCGGTCAGTCGCATGTAATAGCCCCAGAAACATCAGAAGATTTATTCATTCCTGTAAACGCTGAATATAATGACGCAGAGCAGCTATCGAACTTGGCCATAAGAATGGAAAATTGTGAAACGGTCTTGGAACAAATGAATCATACTGCGGGCTTGAACTCATTAGTTACTTTAAAGAGAATAGTGAGGCTTTTGTCTCCGTCTGTGCAAGCTCAGTGGTCAGAACTGACGGATAGATGGACTGAAAACAAGAGAGAGCCGACGTTTGCCGAGCTCACCGAATTTATAGCGTCTCGTGCAATAGTGGCTAAAAGTAGATTTAGACGGTTGGCGAATCGCCCAAAAACGGGACGTGACGCGAGGACAAATTGTCACTTGCGATCGAGACAGCGGAATTCTTCGACCGTAAAAGCTAAATATAGTATCTGTTCTGATGACTACGCTATTTATAAATGCCCCCGATTTTTAGAGCTCACAGTTCGAGATGTATGGTCTTAAGCAAGGAGCAAGTGTTAATGCTTCGTCTGTCTTAGGCAAGGGTATAAGGTTAATGAATGTAAATTGACAAAACGCTATAACGTCGACAGGTGTGAGAAAAAATATCACACTGCTACTCGATGAATCAACAGCCAATAGCTTGAATAACAAACCTGGTACACAGAATTGTTGCGGATTTACTAGATCACTAAGGAGTCAAGTGTGCTTAGGAATGATTCCTGTACGATTAAGATCGGAAAATTCCCAAATTGTGGGATATGCTCTTTCGGATAACGGTTCTGATGCAAAATTAATAAGGTAAG